TCATAACTTTATCACTTATAAAAATAGTAAAGCTTTAATAAAGTAACTCCAGATGTTCACCATATTGTATATCAAACAACTGCACACCTGAGGTGGTTGCTAATTTAACTGGGGTCTTATTGTTTTGACCATACTCACTATCTGGTGCTGTCCATTAACTGTTAACATGTCATTTCAACACAAGACACTTAAGCATCTGCTCTAGTTATTGCTTTACTATGTTACACTATGCTGTGTTATATTACCGTGATATTGAAATTAAATATACAAAAAAAAAAAAAAAAACAGATTTGTAGCGCTAGCAGAGTCTGCATAAATTTCTTTAAATATTATGTACAAAGCTTCTTTAAATATTATGTAATACCAAACTTTTCTAATGAATGACTGCAGCAGTTGTTTATTTTCAGATCTCCTCTGTAATTTTCATTAGTGTGGCTTTTGTCTTTGAAAATGGATGTCAGCATGCAACATTTTAACATATGCTAGCAATTCGTAATAGAGTTGAGATCAGGACTATTACTTGGCCATCTGATCTCTTGTAGGAATTTTTTTTACCTAAACCTCAATTTGTTTATCAGTTTAAGTGACAATACTGTAATGCTAATAAAGTGTAGAGAAAGGACATTATTTGGCATAGTGGTGCAGAGTTGTTTGGAAATATTCAGGATTTTGTAACAAAATCATTCCTTGATTATTAGAATTAGCATGGCAGATAAGATTTTTTTGTAACATTCTGCATTTAACTGATCCACTTGTAAAGTATAATCTGCCAACAGTTTTACTTTATATGCATTCCCACTTTATTTGACTCACTGGAAACATTATCGCATAGATTTCTTCTCTTTTTGAGCCTGCAACTCTGGGATCATCTCAATTATATTTGTCTCTGTTCTTGATTTCTTCCTTTGATGAGTTCTTTTTTCTGTCTTTTAATTGGTTTGATACAAATGCAGACTCATGTTGCATTTATATTTGATTTTACATTCTTGAACTTCAAAAGATCAGCAGGTTCTTCTGCAGAAAAAATCTCTTTTATTTCTCCTCAGATCCTTCATTCATGATGAAATGCTTCTTATGTATTCATTGTTAAACTGATTAAAGAAAGGATTTCTTTCTTCATTTGCTTTAGCAATGGAAACTACTGTCTGCATCAAGAAATCCCTATTATATATATGCCTTGCCATTTCAATTCTTAATGTAGGGTTTGCCATTAAATCTGTGAAAGATTCATTTGGATTCATTCAAAAACATAACACAATTCTACATATCAGTGTGTTGTTTAGCCCAGATAAGGCTACTGTCTGCACATTTTACTTGTCTGTAATGACTTATTGTGATTGGTAGGTTTTTAAACCTATGTTGCACAGTTTGTGCAGTCACTTTATGCCTGTCTGCTCTTTCAACTTAATTAGAAGAACTAACAGTACATTCTCAAAGGCTAGGATACTTTAGCATTCTATCCTGGAATGCTGTACTTGTATGCTTATCTCCTGATTCAACTTTTCTTTCAATGTTACCATGTTCAAGTTTCCTTTGTTAACAACTGCACAATTGTTGATTGATAATAATGCAGTCTCTGTGTTATTTTACAAGCGGATAAACCTTTAGCATTCAAGGCAACAATTACAAATGTTTTATGCTGTGTTATGTTAACTGTCAAAAATCTTCTGTTCTGTTTATAAACTTTGTTTGTAGACTTTGTCAGCCAACAAAAAGTGTTTTTATGACTATGATGTCACAGATGATTTAATTTTTACAGTGTTTTTTAAAGTATCATTTTATTACAGACCTAAAAAGGTCTGTAATAAAATGATACTTTAAAAAATACACATTTTTATAGGATTTTATGCACAATGCAATTTTTGTGGCTGCTACATACATACATACATACATACATACATACATACATACATATTTTACTTAAAACATTTTGATGTGACTTATCCTTAACAAACCAAATAAATGTTGTTAAAATTAATAGATTTAAATCATTCAGTAAATAATAGTCCATCCAGATTTTGACACAGTTTTAGTGTGGCTTTTGTCTTTGAAAATGGATGTCAGCAAGCAACATTTTAACATCAAACATTTGCATTCGGTTATCAGTAATTTTTTTAATACAGTAATCATTATGTGAGGATGTTTTAGATTGTAACAGAAGGTTATCAAGTTTTCATGCCATATTATATTATTTACAGGAATGTCACTATTTAAGTTCTACATGGGAATTTGAATGAAAGAACATCTACCGTGTGAAATACATTTAATAATTTAAGCATTGCTCTATTGGTAATGTAACTGTCATTTGTATAATAAGTTACTGTCAAACAGAACTTCCTGCTGCTCTTTATTAGAGTCAAATGACGTCAGAATCTGTATACAATTTACAGCACATTTCTTGTCATTTACATAACTCGTGTATCATAATCAAGATTAACAACCTTTTAGTAATGCCACCATCAAATAATCAATATCAAAGTGTAGTAAGTACTTTTAATTTTGATTAATGATACCAACAATAAGTTAAATGAAGTATGCAAATATTTCGGGAAATAATAATAATAAATATCTTGGCTTGTAAACTTTATATGTAACCAAAAAGGAGAGAAACTAGACAAAATGATTCCACTTGGTGTGAATGTTTTTGTAAATATTACAAATGCCAGTTAACCCAGAACTACTCATATTTGTTTGTATTTGTAACATAATTCTTTCTATCCTTTTGTATGTTTTGACTAGTGATACATTTGTTGTTCTTGTATTGCATTTCTTTTCCTTTGTTAAATATGTTTACATAAAACATTTACATATTTGGATCATCTGTAATGTCAAATTTAATATTTGGTGTGTTTTGAATTGCTAAGTTTGTTTATAATATGATAAAAATTCACACAATAAATACAACTAAGTGGACAATTACTTCAAATGTAAAATGAATGGCCAAATTCCTTTACTTATCCTTAATAATCCAATAAAGGAATCAGGCAATTCATTTTACATGTGATAAAAATTATGCAAATTATGTAATTTCTCTGTTTTTCTTAATTTGGAAAGGCTCTATAATGAAAAATTTGGCATAAATTCAACTAAAAATTGAATAAATTTACAATGAAGATTGCCTTGTGTTATGTGTATGAACTATATAGTGTTCAAAAACGACAAAAATAATCACCGACACGGTTTCAAGAAAGTAAAATAAATTCAATAATTTATTAGACAATTGAAAGTATTTTTGAAAAATCCGAAGGTACGTCGACTTTAAAGTTTTCGTATTAACCTACTGAATTTTTTGGCCGTCAGCGTGCATTTTCTCAATACAACTCACACTGTGTCTAGTTGATGGTGTTACGAGGTTTCCATGCCAACCAGCCATTTCGTATCGCAACAACCGCCGCGGGTTATAGTCGTAAGAGGCATTTTAGAAAGTACATGTCATTGGTTAATGCTGTAAACACTCGAAACTACTTTCTATTTTTTGATAAATAAACACTTTTGGTAGAAAGGGTTGAGTGGCTTAACCTTTAAGAACTTTGTTTTCATTATATACATAAATACCCCGAGCCATTCCGAGACTGTAATCATCGAGAGATGCTGTAAATCATCTGGCTTTTTAGACATAGCAAGTACTGTACATGCACCTTTGATTAAAACGACAATTTTTCCAGCGCAATCTCGACGTTATATGTTTAGAATTAAGCAAAAACGTCAACTTATCTTAAAATAAAACTAAACAGAAGCGTAATAAATATGTAAAAATGCATTAAATGTGATCTTAGATATATACAGTATTAAACATGTGTTCGAGCCTGCAATACACAACACTTTAAAGTAAATTATTTTATTTTTTTAAAGTATTCTGTATTCTAATAATAAATAAAAATGTAATTAAATCTATAAATTTATCTTTAAACATTACANTTAAATTAAAGAAATAAGAAGTTTAAAGATGATGATAAAAAGAGAATTTTCTTGGTTAAAGAAGTCTTTTATCATAAATTTCAAGCATCAATTCTAAATGTATTTTACTCTTAATTAATTAAAACACTCTGTTTAACATATATTTGTTGCATAAACTGAATCGTCTTTTGACTCCTTATTAATATAAAAGAACCAAAGTAGTCTTTTTTTAAGTCATTTATTGTATAACATAAATATATTTGAGATTTTTCTCACCCTCAAGTCCTTTTGATATGAATTAAACAAACTGTTGCTTTGGTATGACTGTTTCATTAGTTATAGAAAGAATTCGGTTAAAATAATGAGTAAGAAACTAGAAACAACTTAATAAATACGAAATTACAAATTGTATTAATATAGTGAAAAAGGTATTCATTACATAACACAAATGTAGGACAGTCAACAATGATTCTATTTCCATTCATGCAAAGTTTGAATGGCATTGAGAAAGAATTATCATCATAAAAATGAATGTAGACAAGTGTGAAATAATAGTAATATAAAATATTATTAAACCTAACTTGATTTCAATGATGAACGAGTATTGAGTCATAGAATAAACAGTATCTGACTATTTATCTCATAATAGTAACTGGTCTCATTTATGTGTTCTCTTCAGTGAAAAGTGTTTTTACTCTGACATGTCCAATAATCTTGTCCTATTAATGATGATATAAAGAAGTAATTTTTAACTATTGAGTTCATATTTTAAAGATCTTCATTCTCCCAATTGCATTTTTATTATGCAAGTAATTCGGTTAGATTCTTTGGAATGACTTTGTTCATTTGCGTAAAGTGGTTGGTAGGTTTTGTTTATCCTCCCGAGCTCTCTGGCTACAAATTAATTACTGCGTGGTAGCAATTAATAATTGTCGGAATGTGATTAATTTGCCAAGTCTACATACAAGTTTACATCTTCGGTTTTAAAAGTGTTACGTTTCTTCTTTAAGTTAGAGTTTATCTCATAAATATACAATGAAAGCTTTCTAAATTTATATATATTTAAGCTGGATTATTATTTAAAAAGTTTTATATTGTTTCAGCCTGAAATTAGAATGTGAGAAGCTTGCCAGTGAGAAGACTGAAATGCAGAGGCATTATGTTATGGTAAGCTTGAAACTTTCCTTAAATTTAAATTCATTTTCTTTGTGTTTAAATGTGAATTAAATCATGATAGAAGCTAAAAATCATTGTAAAATTCAATAGTAAATCCTGAGTTCATCATATATTAATAAATGCGGGTTTAAATATCATTAATGGAAACATGAGCTTACCGTACGTAAATCTATATTTCTACTCCCAATAATAAGTTGGTTGGAGAGAATGCTCTTTTATTTATACAAAAGTAATTGCTTATTTATGCAGTCGAATGTAATTTATAGTGGTGTTATTATCCATTGGTAATATTGTTTTATTGTTGAAGGGTGCAAGATCTAAAGTTTGTCGTGTGTTGTATTGTCATTCTCTTGTTTATCTATGTAAATATGATATAATGTGATTTATGTAATCTATAAACTGTATAAATTATCCAGTTTTGGATCAGTCATTTTCACTTAAATCAATAGTTGTAGTTGATACAATAGAATATGTTAAATTACATGAGGTTAAAGAAGGGAAAAACTTTGAGGAAGTAAATAAGGTCTTAGTTTTTCAAAATTTATAAGAAAATTGTGCTCTTTGGAGTGAAAATCTTGAATTTTACTGTGATAAAACATAATTTTCTTTCAATCTTTAAAATTAAAGAAGTTTTGAGCTTTGCTAAACTCATCTTCAGAACTTAAATTGTTTCAGAAAGCAAAACAAAAAATACAAGCAAAAGGGAAAAAGGATATTTTGAGTAAATTAAATATTTTCAAAACTGCTTGGATTTTGAAAATAAAGCACTTTTGAAAGTGTTATAAAACATATTTTAAGTAAATTAAGGGATATTTGCTCTGAAGATGAAAAGCTCAAAAAGATTCGAGTTTCGAGATTTTCACTCCACAAAGTGCGATTTTCTTATAATTTCCAGTTTAGGTTATAGTTTGAGATCATTCATAGGTGTTTATATTGTGCATATTATGCTAATCTGGCAATTTTTGCTAGAAAATAATGGAGAAAAACAAAAATTTTTTATCTTGGATTACCTTACCCAGTATGACTCTTATATAGGAAAAAAAATCTATTTTTGTGTGTAATTTATTAAAAAACTACAGAACAAAATATTTATTAGCATTATGGGGGAAATGTAAATCTGTAAATGTTTAAATTTTGAAAATTTAATGGAATTTATTTTAAGTTATAGCGAGATGAAGAGGGGGAAGTTGTAATTAGATTATAGTTTTTTCCCCCTTTAAATTTGTAGAATTTTTTTTCTCCTTCTTTCTTCTTAATTAACTAAAAAAATTAATTAAATATTTCATTTATACAATAAAAGAGAATAAATGTGCATAGAGTTAAAATAATAAATTTGTCTATTTTTACAAGAGGGGGAAGTAAATGGAAAGGAAAGAAAGAAAAAAAAAGAATGAACAAATCTATTAATCACACTTGATAGTGCAGCTGTTTGTTAACACGTGAATATATTTTTTTCTCTTGATTTGAAAATCTACAAACAGGTTTTTCCAATTAAATTTTCGAAAGGGTATAATTATAAAGTTGAAAGTTTTCGACAAAAGAAAACACAAGTTTTATCTTTTGTGCGTCTGTTCCAGTGATTCTTTAGGCCATTTTCTTTAATGGCCAAAATGAGGTTTTCTCAATGAATTTAGCTGTTAATTATCGTCTGTTAGATTTGCAAATGCTTCCTCCATTGAGGCTTGCCACATCGGCAAATTGTTCATCCACACTATGTGATAATCGGCATATTAATTTACTTCTACTCTACTCTTAGAGTAAATGCAGCGGTTGCTTGTGTTTGTATGTACTTAGAAATTCTCTTTTCAACTTTTCTGTTTAGACTATCTGAATAAAATTCTGTTTAGAGACAACTTTGAAGATATATCATGCAAAATATGGAAACATTAGCATTAGTTTGATCTATATATAGATACGCCATTTTCCCGGTTAGAATACATCAACAGTATTTTTCTACTTTATTTTATATACAGTACGTAAACAATAAAAGTTGGCATGCATAATTAAAAATGTTTAAAATAATGTTTGATAACAGAGAAAAAAAAGCATTGTGATGTAATTACCATGTAACGGGAAAATGACAAATTTTGTCAATTTTAATGCCTCCTATCAAAAAATTAGTAAACTAATGAGGAAAACTTGATATAGAAAGTTTTTTCGTGTCACTTCCACTTTGCTGTCATCTTCAAAGATAATTTTATATCAAGAGACCAACATTATTGTGTTTAAAGTGCATAATAAGTTGCGAATTGCTCTAATTTATTCTGAAAAATGTGGAGAGGTTTTGCATGCATTTGTACACAGTTTTATTTTCATTTTTTTTTTAACCAGTTAAGTAAATACTATAATTAAGTGTCTTTAATGCCATAAGGAGAATTTGATTTTTGCTTTCATTCCAGTTATTTTATAATTAAGAATAAGTCGAAATCATTCGTAAATTTACATTTGCCATTTCTATCGCGTCCATTTTATGGATATTAAGATGCCGCCTCCAGGCTGTATCTTTGGAAATTCAAGATTGCGTAATCTGAAATAATTGCACAAAGATATTGCTTACTCTTGCGAACATTTTAAACTTGTCATCTAATGCTTTTAGAATTAGTTAACATTCATGGAAACGTTAAGATTTTCTAAAATTTGATCAATAGTCTAATAGTAAATTCGAATAATTCTGCATGATAAAGAATTTTGTCAATGTTCGTGTACACATTTGTACCTGGTTTTTTTTTTAAGGAAGTAAAAATGAAAGGAAAAAATTGGTTGTTAATGGATTATTACTTTTTTCAATAAATTAATTAAGTTTGAAAAAAATTAAAAATTTTTTTATCTTTTTAGAAAAATTAAATGAAATTTACAGGTTGAAATTGTTTTTTTAAATAGCCAAACCATAAAAAAAATAATAGCATGTTTTAATTAACTTTTTCTACACATATATGAGCTGTGCCACTCAACAACAATGCCAAAATTTATGCTAATGAAGTGGGGTAAAAAGTATAAAAAATGCTTACATTTTCACTTTTCTTCATATTAGTTTGGATAACGTCAGCCTTGTCACTGTCATTTGTATATAAATATATAGATAATTCGATATCGGAATCAATATCTCATATCAATGAATGATAAATGCATTTACTGACAAATTAAAATTTGTTTTCAGATATTGCCAAGTTACCAGTTTGTAAAACATGAATACATAAGCTCCTGTCAAATATTCTTGATAATTGTATCTATATATATGCATATAATTAATGTGCATTAAGAATTATTAAAATATTAAAATTAATAACATAAAAAAAAGAAGAAAAAATTTAATAATCTCCTCTTCTTTTTAATATTAATTTAATTAAAAAATATTAAAAATTCTATTAAAAACAATTTTCTTCCTTTTTTTTTTTTTGAAGGGGGAATTCACAAATAAGAAAATTGAAAAACTAGAAATAGGATTTTGTTCTTTAAAATAAATCACTGCAACCTTTTAGAATCACTTTTTTAGTATGGATCCATTACTAATTTTGTTCTTGCTGCTGTTGCTGTTATTGTTGTGATGTCCACAAAATAAAATTCTTCTATATCAAAACAATTGGAGGTTCTTGACAAACTTTGTAACTTTTAAATTTCATCTGAAGCCTGTTTAAATAGTCAAACGTGGCATTTTTAACCGATGAATACATTCTTTGTCATCTCAAAAAATGGAAGAGCATTTCAGCTGTTAAAAAATAAATATTTATTAATCTATTCTCCAGCAGTAATAACAATGAAATAAAATCCAGTCTAAAAGAAGAAAAAAGGGAGGAGGAAAGAATTCTTAAAAATTTCCTTTTTCCCTCCCAAATTAATGCTATTAATACTCATCCTTTCTTTTTATTACCCACCATTTAATAATAGACAAAATATGATTTGAAAAATAGAGTTAATTATTGATTTTCAAATTACACAGTTTGACAGGTGAGTTTAATGTCTTTAAATTTATGCGACGGCGATATAGGGATATATCGATTTTATTTACTGCCAAATTAGGTCATTACAAAGTCTGATGAAGATAATAAAACTTCAGTATGTGTCAACTGCTTGATATGGAATCATTTTAAATCGAATTTTACTCCTTTATTTAAATGAGATGGTGCATCTTTTATAACTGGACTCAGTTTATCTTGTCACCATCTTTAAGTGAATGATCTCATAGGATTTTTTTTCCCTCTCTTTCTCTCTCTATATTATTATTTTTTTTTCTGTAATTGATTTTTCTAAACTCGATTAATGGCTTTAGACTTTCAGAAATTTGTGTTAAGTTGTTTTAGCCTTTTAGTTTATATGGATTTCGGTTTTTATATTTAAGAGTGAAGTTTTCTGCAATTTGAGACAGAAATTATTCGAATGAGAATACTCGTAGCTGCATGCTGCAGATAAACAGGATAATTAGTCTGTGAACTATATGCGAAATGTTACCTTGGAAACGCAGAAATTTATTTATTGATAGGCATTATGCTAAATGGCTAAAATGTAAAAAAAAAAATGTCCTTATTTTTTTATATTTAAGAACATTTTAATATACTGACATAATATATAAATGATGCAGTTAAGTTGATCATTAACTGTGTCACTAATGCTAAAATGATAATTATCTGTTTAAAATTAAAATTTAAGGGATTCCTTAGAGCTCATTCAATTGTCATTTGTTTGCAAACTACAGCAAATATATATTTTATTAAAATATAGATGTTACATGCGTTTAACATTACAGATAAGAGTTTCGGGTGATAAATTCATGTTATCATTGGGATAATTTTCAGTTTATAGAAGGAAATCTGGGAAAATTATAGTTGGGAGATAATTGTAAGTGAATATATGAAACTCCAGAAACAAGATAATAGATTATTAAGAAGATAATTGAAAGGAAAAAATAGTAGAAAAGAGAGTAGATACTTACATAGATCAGAGTAATTAATATTAATTATCCTGTAAAGAAATATGAATAAATTTTAATCTGTGAGATAATTAACATAAACTTATAATCTGCTCATTAAATTAACTCATTATATGTAAAATAATAATCTTAATTAAATATACTAAGAATTTGTTTACCACAGATCAAAAGTACTAAATTAATAGTTTCTGTATGGCCAGGCTATTTATCTTGTCTGGAGCGAGGAAACATTCAGTTTATGTACTATTGGCACTCTATTTTTTAATAAAAAATTTGGTCTCTATTTTTTTAATAGAAAATGGACAAATAAGGAGGAGGATGACTGGTCTTTAAATTGAAAAATTCAAATTTACAACTGGCTATTCACTCTCAAGATCTGAAATCTGTCTTAAAGGAATTGTGCAGCATATTGCTCCAGGACGTAGTAGTCAGATTTATTATAAAATTTTCCTGTGCTTATCAGACAAACAGTATATATATATATATATATATATATATATGTTTCTGTACTCTATCTTTATTGGAAGGTGCTCAGCCTTATTCTGCATAATACAATTTAGTATTTTATTTTGCATGTGTGGTATTTTTAAACTTTTCTCTCATCTAAACAAGCTATTAATAGTTTAAAAGTATATCTCTATTAGATTGCTAATAGATAGCTAAACAATAAAAAGCTCATTCTCTCTTATCACAATGATTCATTCAAGCTGTTCAGCTGTTGATTTAAGTTTAGCATAAATACACTTCATTGATTGATATAGTCATTCAGTTTGAATCCTCCACTCACAATCTGTCTCCATTTTCCATAGTTCCTGCCATATTATAACTCTTTGATCGCACGACTAATTTTAAATTGTTGAGCCATTTTATTCTAAGATGACTTCCTCTTTTATAGCTTTCTGTATTTCCATATAGAGTCAAGTTTGAGATTTAGGAGACTCCATTCTTTCATTGTGACCAAACCACTTCAACTGTCTCCTTTAATTATTTCCATTATAGTCTCTATTGCTCTGTCTTTCCTTACTTTAACATTAGTTTTTCTGTCAATCCATTTTGTACAATTGATCTTCCTCTGGCCTTTCATTTCAAATGCCATAATTTTCTGTTCTCTTATAGTCTGAGTCCTCCTCTGTAATCTATATATTGTTAATGGAAGAATGATTGTTTTGTGAAATTTAACTTTGTTTTGAAGTCTCGTTACTTTTGTTACATATTAATGGTAACTTACTCTCCAAAGACATGACAATCTAAGCTTTATTATGGTTTATATAACTTCTAATTCTTCTGTGAATCTAGATGATACAATTCATAAGATGAATATCTTATGAATTGTATCATCTAGATTTATTTTGTAAGATACAGATTGGACTTGAAGAAGCACAGGGATAAAAATTAAATTTAAAAAATTTATTTACATATTAATTTTCTATTAGTTTATAACAAAAATTTGTGCCGTCAATGACATTTAGTCAATTTCTAGGAATAATTTATGGGTGATTGTTTATATTACTTTTGGCTAAATATTGTTTAGTAATAGTAAACACGAGAGTAAAGAACAGTTATTGATTTAACGAAGTAGATTATCGTATTTGTTTATAGAATAATCAATTATTAATAGATTGATCATGCCATGAAGACCTTTAAACAAAACTAAATGTAATTAAGAGTTTGGTATGTATTAAATAGCATCTCTGGGATATACAACACGTATTTAAGAATGTTATAATTGAAATATCGGTAAAATGTAATGAGAAAATTTACAGACGTTTAATTTTTTTAAGAAGCTCAAACAAGAGATTTAATTAGTTCTCCCATTTGTTATTTCCAAATATGTGTTTTGTTATATATATATATATATATACATACATACAGTATAATATTTGTTAAAATTGTAAATCTTTGAACAGATGCTACATACAATAAATATTTGGTTGATTGATTTTTCGGCCCCCTCCCTTCACTCCTTACAGACATAATGCATCCGAGATGCTACGTACTTTTAGAATTTAACCGTCAAAAGTTTATTTGTTTAATAATAAATTGGTGTTGATATAAAGCGGGCAAGCAAAAGGATACTTTATGCTGGTAGTTTTCGTTATGCAAAATGTATAATCGTAAAAAACATTGCACGGTTATTGTGCTTTACTTAAATGGAAACCTTGGGCACAGCACAGCTTTCTCTCCTCTAATATATTCAAGAGGTCAAAGAAGAAAATAGAATTGAAATTGGAGGATTTATGATTTTTTATTTTTAGTTTTTTGCACTGCATTTACAAAATTGAATTTTACACTCTATCTTGTGTTAGTATACAATAAAAATTTCACAACTGATCAGAAATAAGGATCATATTTAAATGGAAATGCATGGCATGCAGCAGGATGAAGATGTTTAATTCTCGTATCTCGTCGGCACTTCGATCTCTGGATAATGCACTAATTTTGAGTTAATTTAGTAGCAGACATACCAGTTATGTCTCTAATTTTTTTTAATTAAAATTTTAATTTTTATCTTATAAATAACAAATAGTCCAAAGGGACATATTGGTGGACCAAACTGAACACTGGCAGTGTGACCATTTATAATTAACTATTTTATTATTGATGCTTTTTGCTACTGTCAAATTTTTATAAGTAATGACTTAGAGAATGATACTTGAATTGAATTCTGTTTTTGTTTTTGTTATGGAAGTAGAAAACTTTCATAGAAAATTGATTTTAATTTTTAATTTATTTCTTAGATTCAAACAGTATCTTATTTATTTATTTATTTTTTTCTTCTAGTATTATGAAATGTCCTACGGATTGAATGTCGAAATGCATAAACAGGTAAGTTTATATCTTATAAATATAAAATCAAATTTGTAATTTCAGAAAAACATTGTATGTTTTTTTTTTAAATATATAATACATTTGTGTGTGTATATACATGTTTGAATTTCCTGTTTGATTCAACACAACTTAACAATATTGTTTTTAATTTTAAGTCATTGCAAAGTTTGGAGAGTCAAGATTCATATTTATAGTTATTTTTGAAATTTTGCATGCTCTAACAGCAATAGCAGTTCAGATAAAATTACTATATTCAAGTAAACATTAATTTATATCCAAAAATCTATAGTTATTATAAATATACAATTAGAATTTATAAATTATTTTGGTTATACTTTGTACAGCTGTAATCAGTAGATGCTTACTTGTCTCATTAAATAAATACTAGGACTCTTCTACAACTTGAAGATTAACACTGTAAACAAGAGACATGCGTAAGTTTGTGTGTATAAGTCTAATGAAAAATAAGTGTTGTTACATACATAGTTTATGGTTGTATAATCTTTATACCTTTAGAAATTTCTGGTATAGTAGTTTAAAAACTGCAATATTTTTCTGCGGAATTTTATAGTATATTTTATATTTCTGCTCACAAATATAAATCGCACTACGAAAGAAATGGCATCACTGTTTTTAATTAGGTATTACTGGTGACAAGTTGGATAATATTACTACAATAAGTAAACATCCTTAAACAATTTTTTAAAAATTTATGCATTAAATGCCCTTATTAACTATGTTCAATAAAGAGCAAGTGAATTTGGGTAACTGCATTTTATGTCATAAGTGGCTTGGATTTTCATTTTTCTAATGTACTGAAATCCCAAATTTTCAATGGTATTCTGCTCAATGGTGTCAGCCCTTTAATGGAATTAAGACCCTTCAGGTATAACTCTTTAGTGGAATTAAAAAACCTTTTGTAACATCCTTAAACAGGATTAAGAGCTTTTTGATGTATCCCATTCAGAGCAGTATCTTTGCCTTGTGCTTAAATGGAATTGAGAATCTTCTATTGAAACCCCTTAAAAGTATTATGGTTGATTATTGTAACCTCACTTAGATGTTAAGAAATTGCAATTCTTAAATTATACAATTAAGCATCTTCTGATGAGAATAGCGTTACCAATAGGGATAAACATAAAAATCCTTTTCCCCCAGGATACCAAGCAAGCTTTTGGATGGAAAGAAAGCTTTTAATACATCCTCCGGAATAACAGAGAGATAAATTAAATCTGTCAATGGGGGACTAGAAATCCCATTGACAGTTAAGAATAAAACGAAGCTGCATATAAACGAGGGAAGATTAAAGAAAGGCATCGCGTGCGGAATTCAGTCAAGGTTCAGGCACTACGTGGTTTTGGGGATATCTCCCTTGGAACATTTTATGATTTACTGCAGGTCGATTATTATTAACACGGGGTTTCGTCGGAAACCTGCCAGTTTGCTAATTCATTGGGCGACGCGAACAATCGGTTCTACGGGGGAGCCACGTTGATTAAATTCCACCCTCCATCCCCAACAGTACACACACACACACACACACACACACACACACACACACATTATATATATATACATAGACATACACAGACGCACACGATTTCCTAGGCGGCGTAGAAGGTTCCACCCGCTCCATTGTTAGGTTTTAATTAGGCGGTGCGCCCGTCCCCAATTTTCTTGAGGGTATTGCCACGGCTCGGTCGCGGTCTTTTCTCGTTCCTCCTCCCCGACAGCGCCCTTTGCAGCTTTTAGCTTGTCAACGGGGTCCGCGCGACAATCTGTCTGATTGTCGGTTTTAATTGATTCGACTGCTCTCGGTGGCGGTGCTCCGATATCACCATATGGCAGGAACCTTTATAATCCCGATGTGTAATTAGCTGGGATGTGCTAACTCAAATCACAGCTGCTAAATACCCGGTTAGAATTAGGAGGCGCAATATGCGGTCAGCTCGGGTTTTGATGGGTTCTCTTCGTCCCTTCCCCCTTCCTTCTCGCCTCTTCTTCCTCCCCCGTCTTCCGCCTCGTCACCCAACGAGACGGTTAAGAGAGTGAATGTCCACCACACTTCTTCGGGGATGCACCTTTATTGCCCGGGATGTTTGAACAATGCGTCACGCGATAAGCGCGGAGCTTTGCCCCCTCCCTCCAGACGGTCGGTTTGATAGATTTCGGGTGCAAAGTCGATAATTCAAAGCTAGGTGAAATCTAAACCGGTTGTTCATCACCGCTTCCAGTTTCCAGCTTATTTAACCTCCGTTCCCGATGATCCAATCCCGAATCGATGTAGCAGAGGGGGCCTTCAACCCTTTCTAATCAGGAAACCCCCTGCTACACACACACACACACACACACACACACATATATATATATATATATATATATAGTTTTTTTCCTTCCTCCTGCTCACTCCCTCGCTCCACCGGAGGATCGAGTTACCGGCTCCCGGCCAGTTATTTACTTGGCAAGATAGATCGAGCAAGTCTGGCCGTGCAGCGGGGTCCATGTTCGTTACAACCGAACGGATAGGGAAGAGCGAGCGAGAGAGAGAACCCCCGTCTATTTCATCCAACCTCACTATGCACACTCTCCTTATCGATCTGCCACCGACATTATTAAGGCGGCAAGCACTAGACTGCTCACATCCCGTCCGAGGCAGGCATCCAGAGATTACTGCTGCAGAAAGAAGAAAGGACGGGGGTGGCGGGGGAGAAAAAAGCAAGAAGAAGAGAAAAATCGATGGGACTACGAGGGGCCGTAAATTGAACATGCATTTTCATTACCCGCGGCTTAGCAGTGCTTGTAATGCCTCTCTCTCCTCTTCCATTCTCCCCGCCACCCCCCATTCCGGTAAATATTGATTTTGCCCAATCGGCCGGCGGCAGACTCGATTCCCATTGCCTATTTTCCCTACCTCGACCGGGCCGTGTTTGTCCGCCATTGATTATCCCTCTTAACCAGGTTGTCGTTTTACGAACGCCAGCCGGAGAACGTTCTGCACCCCGCTCAATAGTAATTAAGGATAGATCTGACCAGCTGACGGTTATGAATAAGTAGTCATCTCTATCAATGTACCACTTGTGTTAGCCTGTCAAAAACGCTCGCCCCCATCTCTCTTCTCTCTTTCCGAGATGGGATTAAACGGGCGCTTCTGTCTTTCTCCAGAGTTGTGATGCGTTGCGACCGCCTTACGCGGGTTTCTTTGTGTGTGTGTATGTGTGTGCGCGCGCGCGCCGGCGATGCTTTTATTATTACATCGCTTTTTATTTATTATTTTTTGGGGGGAAACTCGTGAGAAACGGCGCTTAAAAGAGGCGACGAATGCTGATTAAAAAGAGCGCTCACCTCTCTAACCCCCTCCTTAAAAGCAGCCCATGCATCCTCTAATTGTTGTTCACCGGTGACTGGCAGTTCTAGGCACGCTGGGATATCGTCACGGGCCGCTGACTCCCTCTAACGAGGCCTGGAGGGGGTGTGTGCACCGAGTGCACGCTTGCTCGACCATGCGTCCGGCCATCCCCCATCCCCGCTGTCTGGAAGCAGCGGCCTGTGAAAACTGCTTCCCATACTACTATCTCTCTCAATGACGTCAGTCTCCTCGCTCCTCCGACGCCCCCCCCCCTCCCGAAATTTCTCTAGCATCGTTTTATCGTTGTACTTTAAATCCGCCACCGCCAGATTACAACCCGGTTAATATTTTATAACCCGGTTAACGGCCATGTCCGCCATTTTTATCGTACCGGGTGGGGTCGTCGTCCTTTCGCCCCCTAAGCGGGGAATAAGAGTAGGGGGCGCGGGGCCCGGCGGAAATCTTTCCGGGGTTTCCGGCCGACCGGGGTGTGGGCCTTGGCGCGTGCTTCCATCTGACGTCCGGAAAGAGTACTAATAAAAGTGGAGAAGTGACAGGTGAAGCCGTGTAAACAAGGCAAGAGCAGATGGAATCCAGTGTTGTTGTAGTGTTTCCCACTTTGGTCGGTAATTGGTCTATTGTTTGTACGGGCAAAGGGAAACATCCGTAATTCGTGTGTGTATGTACTTTCCAATCGCGGACACGTGTACGGTGTCGCTGCCGTTCTACCTCTCCCTTTCTCTCTCTATTACTGTTAATGCCGTTATACCCCATTACCGTTGTTGCATCTGTCACGACAGGTGTTAATGCAAGAGCTCCGTTTTTACGACTGGCGGTAATTTTCGCTTTTACTACTAATAATAATTGAAAGAAGAAGAAGGAAATAAAAAAACTTTACTTTCGTTTCAGACGGAGATTGCCAAGAGGCTGAACGCCATCATCGCCCAGATCCTCCCTTTCCTGTCTCAAGAGGTGAGTGCGCCTCCCCCTGGCGAGGGGATAATCGAGAGCGGCAATTTTTCTAAAGTCATCCCTTATGCCTTTTCAGCACCAACAGCAAGTAGCCGCGGCCGTGGAGAGGGCCAAGCAGGTCACCATGACCGAACTGAATGCCATCATCGGGGTAAGAGTCGATTTTTCCCGCTCCTCCTTCTCCCCTCTTTATTATTATTATTTTTTTCCTCCCCTTGTTCCCGGTTTATGTATTGTTTAGCCTCCCGTTTCTCACCCCCCTTACTACCGACGGGCGTGTGACGTCAAGGAGGGAGCTAAGGAGGCGTCCCGAGTCTCCCGGGGCGCTTCCTTAACCCCACGGCTCTGGGAAATCTAACAGTTTTCTGTGGTCTCATTAAACGCAGCGCCGCTCGCCGCCATTAACTTCGCTAAGTGGATGCCAATTATGTCGTAGCTAATTACTCGTGCACTTTGTGTTAATCCTAGCGTCGAACGCCGCTCGGAAAATTCGGGTGGCCGTGTTTGTTTTCTCCCCCGTCCTCCTCTCGCAATTTAACAAAGATTCGCAACGGGAGACGACGCGTTGCTTGGCGCTCCGCCTTGCGACTCGTCACTCGTCTTTTTTTTCCCTTCCTTTTTTTTCTTTTAATATTACGCGCCGTTCCTTCCCCTCTGCGTTATAAAACACCGAGTGGCGTGGGGAGGTGGCGGCCGTATTGGACGAGGGATTTTTTTTGAAAGGGTTTTTGTTTTCTCGTTTTTTTTCTTCCGCAGCAACAGATGCATGCCCAACAGATCGCACCGCACGCTCACGCCCCGCCGATTCCCATGATGCCTCACGCGGCGGCGGCCATGGCCAGTCTGCAACCCCCCACCATGCCGCCCAGTACGGCTGCTGGACTACTCGCTCTGTCCAGTTCGCTGAGCGGAGGGGCGCCCTCGTCTCACCTGTCGGCGGCGATATCGAGTTCGGCCGCCGCCTCGGCCCTCAAGGAGCATCGAGAGGAGAAGAGGTCGAGCAGCGGTAAGTATATAATTTTTTTTTCATTTTTCTTTGGCTAATTTTCGCGCAATTTATGGCGCCTGGCGCTTTTACTAACTCGTGCTCATTTTTTTCCTCCTCCTCCTCCTCCACCCGCCCGTCCCACTGTTCATTGTTTCCCTCGCCCGCTGGGATCCCCGACGATCCGTCTCCATGACAACCAATCGATATCCCATCGCAGCTCACAGCTCCGAAGACAGACACGTAAGTACCCCACTCGCATCTTTCATCCTACGGCCCGAGTGCTTGCACTTTCGTGTTATAGATCATCTTCTGTAAGTGGATTATTTTCGTCTTTCCTCTCTCTCTCTCCTGCGCCCCCCCCGGTCCTCCCCGGCAGCTCTTCTTTTCTCTTCCCGTCCGTCTCAATATGTCTTTTGTGTTTTCTCGGGGGCCCACCAGATGGCGTTCGGTGAATGGCCAGATTATCACCCCCGGCCGGATCTGCCATTTTCGGCTCCCTCTGTCTCGGCCCCCGTCCCGTGTAATGCGCCTTTCCGGACTTAATCCTCCGCTTAATCGCCCTTCCCCTCGGGGGAGACGTCCCCTTCCCCTCCCCTGCCGGTTGGAGGCGACGTTAATTACACGCCCCCTTCCATAACCTACTACCGACCTTTGTTGCGGTCGGGAAGCCCTTTCCTTTGTCGCTTCGTCCGCCCGCTCTGCCACCGGAACAACAGGTGGTGGCTGATATCCCCGGGGTCACGTGATCCCACGTGGTTGGGCGGAGCTCCGAGTCGAGCCGGGTTAACAGGTAGGCGTCGGGGCGGGAGAGCGACCCGTTTCCCAGTCTGGCTTCCCGCCCCATGTCCTTATCCCCCCTTCCCTCCGCTCGGTACGGGACGAAAATGGCTGGCAATTATCCCGACGGGAGCGAGCTTGAAGAGGGTGGCTCCGGGCGACGTCGGGGATTGGGTCACGGTCCAGGTATTAGGTCACGCCCCATTGGTCACGGATGGCATCCGGAAATCGGCCGAGGGTGCGCTTGTCATTAACACGTCCTCTCTTCTCTTTCTCCCTCTCTCCCTCCCTCCATCTGCCCTTGGCCGGGGAGTTCGGGGGGGGGCGTTAGTGGGAGGGGAATTTGTCTGGTCGACGCAACCAGATGGCTCTGGGAATGTTTTTCGGCTTGGATCGCCGCGGGTGGGGGGAACAAGGAGACAAATCGCGCCGTGTTTCCGGGCACGGACCCGTTCCCGTTCCCGCGCAGCTGCGCCCCCCTCCCGCTCGGGGACGGGTGAATTTATTAAAGGAACTCGGACCACCTGGCCTGTGTCTGTCCCGAGTTGTGGAGTGTAGCTCTCCTCACTCCCCTCGCGCGGATCGGGTTCTCCCCTCGATTGTTTGGCGTAGAAGGATGGCCTTTTCAACGTGTATCCACCATACCCCAGGCCCGGGCCTTGGACCGGGACGCGAGGAGAGGGGGCGGGGTTGATTTGTGGTCGGTGTGGATTTCGGCTTTGTGTTTATTTTCCTCGCCTTCCCTCCGCTCGGGATGGGGTACTGCGCCCCGGACGCGGCCCCCTCCCCCGCCGGGAAGGCCGCAATTGGCCTAGTTCCGGTCACGTGACGCTCTTCATTTTTCACTTCGCTGATCTGGAATGCCTAGTTCCGTCGGACCTAATTAAGTTTTTTTCTTTTCTTTTTCTCTTCCTCTCTGCAGAGAAATTCCATTTCACCTAACGACCGAGAGAAGTTTCGGAGCCGATCTCCGGATCTGAATCACGAGCTGAAGAAGAGGAAGAAGGAAGAGAAGGTGGGTTGGCCGAATAACGTCTCTCCTCCGCCTCCTCCTCCTCCCTCCTACATTGTTCCTCATCTAACCTTTTCCCCTTATTTTTTATTTGGCTCTTACAGGACAGCGATGCGGATCAGAGTGATCAGGAGCTAGTGGTGGACGTCGCGAACGAGGTAAGCCTTCTCTCTCTCCCTCCTCCAGTTCGGCGCTCGCCACGTATTCCTTATTCCCGGTTTGTCTTTTAGGATTCGGTTGGGCCACCCAATGGTGTACCTTCGCCCCAAGAAAACGGCACGGAGAAGGCACCGAAGAAGGAGCACAGCGCGCACAGTCCACACAGTAGCATATCTTCGAACGCCAGCACACCCTCATCCAAGCATAAAGACGTAAGTACATCGCCTGTCCTATCCCCAAAAACACCGAGGGGATCGACTCTCAGTATTAATGCACGCGCGCGCGTAAACGTAACATCCGCGCCGCTAAAGAATGCGGTGTCGGATTCGTAATAGCCGGGTCAGTCGATGATTTATATTGGTGTTTCGGTATTTGATGGACTCTCGTGAATAAACGTAGCATTTGTCTAATTGTCCTTCCCTATCTATACCATCGCAGAATGAAAAGTCGACCACACCCATCCCCAAGCCAGTCACACCCACCAGCTCAGGAGGTAGCACACCTGGATCCAGTGGTCTGAAGTCCCTGCCCAAGGCACCATCACTTGGTAAGTTGCAGATTGTAATGTCACGTCTGACATTTTATTACCTGTCGAGTACTATACATATTTATCAAGCGGGAATAGGGGTTGAAGACGAGATCCCTCTCCCGTCGCCAATTATTATTATTTTCTCTCGTCCACTCTGTGTATTTTTATTGTTTTTTCTTTTCCTCTTTTCGACTCAGGTCCACCGTACCCATATCCATTGCACACAGGAGGTTCCGCTACTCATCCAGGAATGCCAGCCGATCTCAGTTCTAGTGCCTCTTATTCACAAGGAATGCTTCACAACAACATTTCTCCATCTCTGAATTCTTACACCAGATCGCTGGTACGTTTGCCTGCTCCGTCACGCGCCACCCAACCCGGTTACAAGGGTGTTATCTCATTTCTCGTTCCTTTTTTTTTACAGGTCGGTTACGACACTCATCCCTCGATGAGAGCCCCAGGTTTTGGTAGTATACCGGGTGGAAAGCCGTAAGTGGGGAAAAAACCTCCGAACGCTACTAAACACTACCTTTTCGTGTTGCCTGTCTGCTAACTTGCACCCATTTTTTAATGTTTTACAGCGCCTATTCATTCCACGTCAGTGCTGACGGACAAATGCAACCAGTTCCTTTTCCTCCCGACGCCCTCATTGGCCCCGGCATACCCCGTCACGCTCGACAAATTAATACTTTGAGTCACGGAGAGGTGGTGTGTGCCGTGACGATTAGTAATCCTACAAAATATGTTTATACGGGGGGAAAGGTAGGCAGAGTCACGTGACGGGTGCAACCCTCCCGACTCCTTTAATTATCGGACGTGTTTTTTTTTATTTAATCCGAACCACTTCCCCTTTGTTCATTACAGGGTTGCGTTAAGGTATGGGACATCAGCCAGCCGGCTAGCAAGAGCCCCGTGTCGCAGCTGGACTGCCTGCAACGTGACAATTACATCAGATCGTGCAAACTACTCCCCGACGGTCGAACGCTGATCGTGGGAGGTGAAGCCAGCACCATATCTATATGGGATCTGGCCGCTGTAAGATTTTCTCGAGACTACTTTTAGAAATTTGGTAGAGTCGACGTTAATCCTCCCCCCTTTTGTGTGTTCCCGCAGCCCACACCGAGGATCAAGGCCGAATTAACATCTAGTGCACCCGCGTGTTACGCCCTGGCCATTAGCCCCGACTCCAAAGTGTGCTTCAGTTGTTGCAGCGATGGCAACATCGCCGTCTGGGACTTGCACAATCAAACTTTAGTCAGGTGAGTTGTCTAATTCGTCCATCCCCTCTTCTGTCGTCGCCCGCCAAAGTGTGCGCTAACTCATTTCTTTCGGCGTTTAGGCAGTTTCAAGGTCACACCGATGGTGCTAGTTGCATCGACATCTCGAGCGATGGCACTAAACTGTGGACCGGTGGTCTCGATAACACCGTGAGATCGTGGGACTTGAGAGAGGTTAGTGTATACGTAATTTTGTTTTCTTTATTTATGCCTTTTTGTAGTGTTCTCTCGGCTCGGGCGTTAAACTACCTTTTAATCAAATTGGTCGTGGTTGAAGAGAATGCCAGAAAAAAAAGGGGGTGAGCCGAAAACATGAACCACTTCGTAGCTGATAGTTGTTTGTCAGGAATTTAATTGGCCTTGTTAGTGAATAACAATTTATTACCTTGCAGGTGAAGGAAGTTGTCTTGCCTTTGTTTATCGTGTAGTTTTTGATTAGAGTGAAGCTTTAAAAAAAATTCATACAGCCGTGGGGTGTATCGATCATCTACAAAGTTACAACTTGGGATTCATTCCTGCGCAGTTTTAATTTTGATTTTTTTTTCTTTCTTTCTTTCAGGGAAGGCAGTTACAACAACACGATTTCACCTCTCAGATTTTCTCTCTGGGTTACTGTCCTACAGGAGAGTGGTTAGCAGTGGGGTACGTGTCGTGTCGTATAAGTGTTTTACGTTGATTTTACTCCCGTATTGACGTTTGTGTACCTTTTCAGGATGGAAAGCAGCAACGTGGAAGTTTTGCACTGTACCAAACCCGACAAGTACCAGTTGCATCTTCACGAAAGTTGTGTTCTGTCCCTTAAGTTCGCTTATTGTGGCAAGTGGTTTGTCAGTACAGGAAAGGATAATCTGTTGAATGCTTGGAGAACGCCTTACGGTGCTAGCATATTTCAGGTGGGTTACAGATCATTGCAATTATGAACGTTTGTAAAAACCGAAGATATCCCTAACCCATCAATTTTTATTTCTTCCTTTTTTTTTCAATTGCAGTCAAAGGAATCTTCTTCAGTGTTAAGTTGTGACATTTCCTCAGATGATAAATACATAGTGACTGGTTCAGGTGATAAAAAAGCTACGGTGTACGAAGTCATTTATTGAGATCAGCGGCGAATCTCCTCTCAAGACGACGAAGAAAAGGAAGGAAGAAGAAAAATGCAGTTCGGCCAGCTTGTGTCATGAGCGAAACCCTCTAAAAATGGCCGAAACTCGACATGTTCCTTAGCATCCTTCAAAGGACACAAATATCTTCTCAGAAAAAAAGAAACAAAACCTTTTTGGATGTATATCACGACCAAACAACATTCCCCACACAAGGAATAGAAGAGAGACTTTTTTTTCGCAAGAGACCAAGTCGTACGAATACGTTTGGTTAATGGAAATTATTAAAATAAAACAAAAAATGGTGTACATTTTTAATCTATGCTTTCATAGTAGCACTGCCGGCCAAGGTGTGGCAGCTATTTTAGGAATGGTTGTTGTTTTTTTAGACACTTGTAGATATATCACTGTCTGTAACCTGTGCAGAAATGGTGTTCTGTACTATGGAAAGGATTCATAGCACATTTGGATTCATTGTTCACAACTTGTCTTTGTACAACGCTCCATTGAAAAAAAAAAACGCTTTTGGACAGATTCTTTTGGGAATATGTGGCAGTTCCACCGAAAAAAAAAAAATGCTTTTTCTTCTCCAAGTCCTCACTTCACACGTGTAATTTTCACACTAAAACCATTGCCAAAACAAAAAAAAAACTTAAAAAATAATAATAATGTGTTGCTTTGTTACAGCGTCACTTTCATAAAAGAAGTGCTTTTTTATTTCCGTTATGTATTCAAGAACCCAGTGTTATGTTTTGGTATCTATACATATAAATCACGTATGAGGAAAAAGAATCGCAAAAATAATTTCAAATTTTTTTTACGCCAGAAAAAAGTGTACTTTTTCTCCCCTAGACTTAAGTTTTTTATTTTATTATTATTTTTTTTTATTAATTTTTTTTTCTTCTCAGAAGGAGCACCGTTCGACCAAAAGCTGTCATTTGAATAAAAAAAAAAAAATACAGAAAAGTAGCAAATGAGCTCTTGGATGATTGGTGAATTTTATTATTCGCTAAACATCTCGTGGTTGTTACTGTGATTTTTCAGAACAGTTGTGTGTACGTGAGAAAAAATTTACCAAAAAAAAAAATTATTAGGAGCAATCCATCATCATCCATGTTTCACATTTGAAGATGTTAAATAAAGTGATGTCATGGTTTCGGAATATATATATAAGTTTATATATATTGTCCGTAATTTAAGGAAAAAAGAGGGGACGAGTGTCATCTATTAAACCTAGCGTAAAATCCGAGAAATTACTAAAAATAATTAACGGGTGTAGCGTTTCAACTGTTGTAAACGCAATCTGCTTGTCTAACAGAAAATGTCAATAATGGCGCTGGCATGCTTCTACACGCCATCTTGGCACCTGTGCCAAAATCGGTAGATGCTCGAATGTCACCGGCGGTAAAACAACTGTCACCAACTATATTGGTTTACCCCCGGTTTCTTGCCAACTTTTTTTCTTTCTTTCTTTCTTTCTTCCCTTCAAACACGGTAAATTGGTTATTTTTTGCCAGGGAGGGAGGCGTGTCCTGGCGGTAGGAACATCAATCTGTTTATCGTTATTGTAACCTGACTAAAAAGCGCACAGACAGTTGATGTTAACAGAGGAAACGTTAGCGGTAAACATCCTGGATTGAAAGGAAATAGATAATAGAGCAAACATATTTAGTTTCCCATCCAACGTTGCCCCACCCCTAAAAGTTTGAAAATTATTAATTAAAACTGTTAGAATCGAGGTTAATCCCCTGTTTCGCCCTCCCTAGCTTGTCAGTAGTAACATCAATTTTGGTTTATTGCTGTTATGACTGAAGTTACGGTAATTGCCCTGTTGAGGTTAAGTAAGCTGACCGTTTCCAGGAAGAGGGGGTTGCGAACATTTAAAGCCCCCTTCTCCATTAACTATAATTATATAATTTTTGACTCCAAAGGTTAAAAGTTTAGTTAAACCTCTTGTTCTTTGTTTTTTTTTAAAAAAAAAGAAAAGAGAGCAGAGAGTTGTTAAGTAATTTTTTTCTCTAAGTACTTTCACCTCCCATTTACTAGGTGATGTCTATAGAATCGATTTTTCTAGCACTCCTCTACCTATATAATACATATATGCTCTCCCTTTTTGACGGGAAATAAATCACGTAAAAAAAAACATCGATTTAGTAAATCGTCTCGCGAAAAGTATAAAAATCGATTTACAATTTACTAATCTGGGATCCGTGCTTTGCATATTATACACGTGTAATCAGTATAACTAAAATCAATATCCGGTTTTAACCGATTTAACTCGCTTTTATATGGGTATTTAATTAGTGTGTATCGAGGTTAACACGTGTTTGTGCTTTCCATAAACGTTTTGATAAAGTAAAAAAAAAGATTACAAGCCTGTTCGGCATTTAACCCCCTCCAAATATTTTTGGGATACCTTCAGAATTCGTTTTTAAAAGGCAGTAAAATTCGTTATGTAAAGTTAATAATATGCCGCCGTTTAAGTCTGATTAAGAAAAACCCGCTTTTTAATCTTGGTGGCGCTTTTTTTAAATTGTAATTAGTTAATTACATTCAAGGCGTTAATTGCGATCAATTTCAAACAATCGGGAAAACGAAATCGACTAGCGTTAAGTGAAATCGATCTCAATTACCGGACGAAAATCGAGTTTCGTGTTTAACAGATCGAGTTAATTGTTGTAATTGATTACAATTAAAGACGAAACGTGTTATTTTTTCCGGGTAATTGATAAATTAAAACAGAATAGTTAAACATCGTCCAGTGAGACGTTTAACCGGGTTAATTGGATTATGGAAGGAAGAATAAACAGCAGATTTTTTTTTGTACTTTTTTTTTCTTCTTTTTGTATTCAATACAATTATCGACAAACTATTACAGGCAAAATGAGGGAACACGACATCTAGGATCTGTACATTTTCGCCGGAATCTGTACATGACAAGGGCGAGCAGGAACTGGGTTGATTTACCGCCTTGCGGCCAATTCATCGTCTGTCGTAGACGACGTTTCAGGAACTATAATTGGGAGGTTGTCAGTAGATCACTTCGTAAACGGTCGCTTTCTTGTCACCAGAACCGGTGACGATGTATTTGTCGTCGGATGAGATGTCGCAGCTTAAAACCGATGATGATTCTTTGGACTGGAAAGAAGTAACAGACTCATTAACACGGTGTATAACACGAGCCTCCATTAAACCGACCCTCACCCCTTAATAAGGAAACGGCACCGCCCCCTTTTTTTTCTTAACAACTAGTTTTTTTTTAATCTTTTTACCTGGAAGATGCTAGCACCATATGGGGTTCTCCAGGCGTTTAGAAGGTTATCCTTTCCAGTGCTGACGAACCACTTTCCGCAATAGGCAAACTTTAACGATAACACACAACTTTCGTGAAGATGTAACTGGTACTTGTCGGGTTTAGTACAATGTAGAACCTCCACGTTACTACTTTCCATCCTACACAAGTAAATTAATAACTCGTTTTTTAACCATGGCCGACGGCTGGGGGGAGTATTTCGAGCAATAAAATCGATACTTACCCGACTGCTAACCATTCTCCGGTGGGACAGTAACCCAATGAGAATATTTGCGAGGTGAAGTCGTGCTGCTGCAACTGTCTACCCTACAGAAACGATACAAATAAATAGGGGTGTCATTATATAAACTTACATTATCGGTCGAGGAGGAGGGAAGAAGGGAAAATCTGCTTCATCGAACATTTTATAATCAATTTTCTAGCGGTCGCTTGATAGTTTGTTTATGGACGATAAGGGGGAATGTTGGAGCAACATTCTTTATCGCCGAGCATGTAATAGCTTCACCATCAAGAGGTAATTAACGGGGTTGGCGCTCTTCTAAAGCCTGTTGGGCCCTCGTTCCGACACTAGAAAGCTATAAACAAATGAGTTATAGCGGCGAAATCTTCACTCGCTTGTTTAATTGACACCTTAATGAAAATTATGCCTTTCTTACCCACGTGACAAAAATAATGGCGGAAGTAAGGTATCTTAAAGAGGCACGCAGTAACACTTTAAAACGACATTTGTGAAAACGTTACGTCGTCTACCCTGGCGCTTTTTCGCTCCGATAAAAAAATATATGGCATTTTGGTTTGTGTGTGTTCTTATGTCTGACCTCATTTCTGATAAAAAACTGGATCGTGTTTAAACATGCCGATATTGACACAATTATTCGACGTATAATAGTAAGCAGATAAGTGTACGGCGGCTTTTATCATAAGTCATACACGTAAAGATGTCATGTTAAAAGCACTGTGTAAACTTAGAAGAGTGCACCTTTAAATGCATTCGAGCAACGATTATGAATTTATTTATACGCATTTATATACTAAGAAGCTCTAAACTAGCCTTCAACTTAAGTCCATTAGATTTTATAGAAGATCTTGATTCTATCGAGGAAAAATTATCGGCTTACTTCTCTTAAATCCCATGATCTGACGGTATTATCCAGACCACCTGTCCACAGTTTAGTACCATCGCTGGAGATGTCGATACAACTTGCACCATCCGTGTGGCCTTGGAACTGTCTACAGGGATGAAAAAAATTTCGCCAAATTACTCGAGTTCCTTCTTAGCCCAGTGAATCACACAGTAATATGACTTACCTGACTAAAGACTGATTATGCAGATCCCAAACTGCAATGTTACCGTCGCTACAGCAACTGAAGCACACTTTCGAATCGGGACTGATTGCTAATGCGTAACACGCTGGTGCATTCGAAGTCAGCTCTGCTTTAATTCGTGGTGTTGGCTTTAATAATGGAAAAAAAGAAGATGCGATTAACAAATCATTCTTACAAGCTGACAGGTTAAATCAGCATCTCTAGAGGGTTTCTACAGCAAAAATTATTTTACACCGTTACTTTTTTCTATCTTGACAAAATTTTACATTTAATTAACCATTTTGACACTTTTTAAAGCTTCACTAATTAGTTTTTTTCCTTCTTTTACACCCCCCTTCGCACTCACTCCTAATGTAAGCGATACGAAAGAAAAATATGAGATCCAGGAAGAACATTTATTAATTTTTATATTTAATATCCTGTGGGAAAATAAATTAAGGCCATAGGCCTGCTTGTACCGAGATTACACAATCGATACTTACAGCACCCAAATCCCAAATACAAATAGTGCTTGCTTCACCGCCGACTATTAATGTCCTCCCATCTGGTAGTAGTTTGCAGGATCGAATGTAGTTTTCTCGTTGCTGTATAAGAGATAAATGTGTAATTAAGCCGGCAAAAGAGGGGAAACAAAAAAAAAATCGAGCGATGCGACGCGACGCGGCATGCTCGCGACCATTCATCATGGCGAATTTAAAAAAAAAAAAGATGCAGAAAAAATCTGGTATATAATTTCCTTACCAGGCAATCTAATTGCGAAACGGGACTCTTGCAAGACGGTTGACTGATATCCCATACTTTGACACAACCCTAGATTAGGAAAGAAAGTTTTTTTTTTTTAAATACCTAAAAACCGTCACGTGATTTTGTTGCGTGATTCGCATTGGTGCGTTGATTCCCCCCTTTACTTACCTTTCCTCCCGTATAAACATATTTAGTTGGATTACTTATTGTCACAGCGCACACGACTTCTCCGTGACTTAACGTGTTGATCTGTCGTGCGTGACGTGGTATCCCTGGTCCAATCAGAGCATCCGGAGGAAAAGGAACTGGTTGCATCTGACCGTCAGCACTCACGTGGAAGGAATAAGCCCTATGAGAGAGAACGATTAATCATAAATCAATAATTTTTTTATACATAAATTACGTCCTGGGTACATTGGCCAAAAACTTCGACGTGTAGGGCACACTTTTGACGCCATGTTATTATTATTATTAGTTTACTACTGTTTTTTTTTTTTTCCTTCCGTTATCTATGGGAGGTCGGAGGTCAGAAGTGGTAAAATTCCCCCTCCTAACGCGATAGGCCGCGAAGACGAGGTGAAAAGGTCGCGCGAATGACACGCTAGTAGTGCCCTTTTAAAAAAGATATATTTTTAAAAATAAATTTAGAATATTGTTATTTTGTTCTATGACCTCTTATTTTGACCTGTGTGGTTAGGTGTAAAGAACTGGGCGCAAGATTAGTTGGAAAAACACTTTACTTTTATTGATGTTTTACATAATTGCGTTTAAAGTTTTACATATAATATAATGATCTGTGCCACACAATTTTTTTTCTCTTTAATACAAAAAATTATAATGGACGAAAAACAATATTTTCTCTCCCTTTATATATATATTTTTATATATATATAGATTATAGATACGTTTATATCGTATTCTACNTTTTTTATTTATTTATTTAGTTATTTATATATATATATATTTGTTTGGTTTTTGTTTTGTTTTTGGTTTATACTTACGGTTTCCCAGCGGGTATTGTACCGAAGGCTGGTGGTCTAAGTGTGGGATGAGTTTCGTAACCAACCTGGAAAAAACGGAAAAATAAAAATATATTGTCTTCATCGGATATAGCGGACATATTTAAATAGCGCGCTGCAACCACGCGACGCGACGCGCTGAGTGCTTATTTTTCCCCCTTCCTAAATCCTGCTATTTATTGAATCATATACATTGTACTTACCAGGCTGCGAGAATAGGAATTTAAAGCAGGCGTCAGATTATTGTGAAGCATACTTTGAGAAAACGCCCCACTAGGACTTAAATCTGCGGGTAAACTCGGATGACCACCAGGTGGTAAAGGATAAGGATAAAGTGGACCTAACACCAAAAAACGTAGCGTTAAGAGAAGTGAAAAAACGCGAAAAATACTCATCCCAATCCGGTGGCTTACCTCCAAGATGTGGAGATTTAGGAACAGGCTTGATGCCACTGGAACTTGGTGTCGTGGATCCAGAGCTTGTTGGCGTTACCGATTTCGAAATGGGTGTCGAAGGTGCTTCGTTCTGCAAAAAAATAATAAATAATTCGTAAAATCGAATAAGAGTGACGCCCGACAGGCGTAAAACTGGGTGACGACAGATAATTACCAAATGATCCTTATGCTTTGTAGACGTGGGTGTGCTTCTACTCGAGGAAGATCCACTCGGAGGTCGTTCCCTTCTTGTAAGTCCATTTTCTCTAGGAGAAGGTTCACCATTAGTTGGAGAAAAGGGATCCTGGAAATACAGAACGTGAGAAGAATATTAATATTTAAGAAAACATCCATCTGATGCTGAAGAAAGAAAATAAAAGATCTCTTTTTTTCTTATTATTATTATTTTTTTTTTTGCAAGTTTCAAAATTATATCTTGCGAAGTGATTTGGATATACACGTATAATTTATTTCCATTTTTGAGCATATATTATTTTGTGCCACGTATTATAAATTCTTGCTAACCTCATTTGAAACGTCCACGATAACTTCTTGATTCCTTTTCACTTCTTCGGCACTCTAAGGGTGGATAAAAATAAATGCTAGAGTTAAAAGCATTTGGAAGTTTTTACTTTTTCTTTTCTTAAATATCCCTCTAAGCTTAATTTATATCCTCAATAATTATATATATATATATATATATATTTAAATGAGTCGACACTTGGCTGATGACATCTTAGATTAAAAAAAAAACAAAAAAAATATGCGTGACGTGAAAATTAATCACGTGATTCTGCTGATAAAAATCGATCAGCGTGCACAATAGACCCGCTTGTTGGTATGGTCACAGATTGGGGCGCCCCCCAACTCAGGTGCAGCGCTGAAAAAAAAATAACATCACCCTTTCACCTCATGCAGTAATGACTTTAGGCTATACTTTTTTTTTCTCTTAATCTTCGGCTGCAAAGATGGCGACCGAAGATGAATGACTCAATGTGTACTCACGTGATCTGGCTTGTCATCCCGCCTTCTCTTTTTCTCCTCTGGTTCCGGTGTCCGGAGTCGATGTTTCTCTCGGTCATGAGGGGAGATGGAGTTTCTCTGTCCACAGATCAATAAATGTCAGTTTATATCTACTGAATTTTCTCCGATGTTATACAATTTTAATAAATAATAATGAAAATATATAAACAGAGGTTGAAGCGGGAGAAAGAAGGGGAAAAAAATTTAAATTTAACCACATCGGCCGAACGGTAGCGAAATTTTTAATCTCCTTTGCATCCTCCTCACCTTTGACTTCCCCCTACTAAACGATGTTGGAGGAGAGGAAAGGAGCCAAAATTTCTTCTCTTTTTTTCAGCACTTAATGCAACTTTACACGTGATAAAAAGTGAAAGGGGGGAAATGAAGCAATATGAGGCTCAAGCCAAAACTTTCAATTAAGTTAAGAAAAAAAAAACGTACCCAAGAGGAGGAAAAGAAAAATATAAGGTTTAAAAATCGATCTCGGCATGTAACGATTTTTATTTTTACTTGTTTATTTTTTCAAGTAGAAGGGAAGCAGTCGAGCTAAGATGGCTGTACACCATAGTGAGTTGTAGACGAGTCGTTAATTGGGCAAACGTCTGCTGGTGACGTGTAGAGAGAATACGTACTACAAGTAACCCCATGGGGCTACTCCCGCTGGTTCTCGGACATTTTCTGCAGGGGAGAGAATCTGAAAAATTCAACATTCCTGCAGCCGTGTTGTTTGTTTAGTAAGAATTAATTACTTTTACTTCCTTTTTTGAAAAATCTTATATTAAAAACCTCCAGACGTTTGCAATTCCGAGAAATTAAAGAAGTGTTTGTGGGTCACACGCCCGAGTGTTTCCACCTCACTTACACAGAAAGGAACTTAAACAATATCAACTAAACAGTCACACGATATCGGTCGTACATAGTCCAACGATTTTCATTTGTTAAGGGCTTGCAAGGCCATCTGAAACAATCCCGAAAGAGGCAAAGGTGATCCTGTACAGTCATCATTGCTAAGGGATATTTTTACCAGAATTGATACAGGATGTGTGATATTAATGTCTTTAACCTATTTTTCAGCTTTTTATAATGATTTTCCAACATAATTATCGGCTTATATGAGGGCCAAGTTCCTTATAACGGCTATAATTTAACTTCCCGTCTCTATTAATTCTACAGCATCTGGTAGCATTAATACATCATTGCACTTTGCAATGGCCTGACCAGTTTCGAGTGGCGCTCGCCAGGTTCAAATCTTTTATATACGAAAACTTTTTCGATTAAATAAATTCAGGGTCTGGCTACAATTTAAGTTTCCCGTTCTATAAATTTAACCCGATAAAGCATGCGAAATAAACTAGACACGGGCGAAAATGTAAAGCGGAAACAAATTGCTGTTAAAAGGAATAACTCAAAGTTACTCTTGTCATCTTCAAAACACTTAACGAGTGCAGAAAGGCGTCAATTACTACACGACACTAGACTAATTAGCTTGTCACCGTTCCTCCCCCCTTTCTTAACATTGATTTTTAATTAACGTTGTACTCCCGCACAAGACCGTACTTCATTGTCCAGCACGGCGAAAGTAGGGATCCTTGTACAATTAAGATGGACCCCCCATTGTCATTCAAGTTGTACCAATGTTTGACCATTGCCGGTATTGATCCGAGTTAGGAGGAGAGAAAAGCATCTCTATTTGTTTCCGCTCAGTTGGTGGTGGATGGTTTTTCTTCTGCCTTTTCTTTCTTGTTAGCTTGGTGATTTACAGTGAGTGTGTGTCCACAAATTAGCGAACGCCAACCTCGACCGTAATTACGTTATAGAAGCGCAATTAACAAAACGGGCGAGCAGAGATTGTTATTAAAAATATCGATTTGCAGCATTTTTTTCTTAAATCCCTTATTTAAAAAAAAATAATAGGTAATGCCTAATATTTTAAATATGTAGCAGCATTGTTACACCGCTAATGCCCGACATTAAAGATGTGGCATTACATTTATTGCTTGGAGGATTGATTATTTGTAAAGGACGAGAAGAGGAGAAGAAGAAATGAATTATCAAAAAGCTTAATCGCCAAAAATCTTGTTCCAGTAGATCCTAACAAAGAATATCTTTAACTCTGTTAGAGGGTAGCCATCAGAAACAGAATTATTTCTTTGGCCCGTGTTATTGATCATGTTTCCACGGAATACAGTGCATAAAATAAAAGATTTTCTTTGGTATTTTGCAATTTTCCATACTAAATTACACCCGCTTTTTCATTGTACTTGCCCATTCCATCTCGGTGCTCGATTATTAATAAATATTCTTAAATGGTACTATTTGCCTACTCGTGTCGTTTGTTGGAGAATTCGCTTTAACGAAGAATTTTAGTTTTAGAAATTAAAATTTTGTTTTCGGGAATAAAAGTAACGTGTAAACACTAGAAATGTCAGCAACCTTTTCCAAGTATATAGACTCACATCTTTGTTCACTACAACAGTAATAATGGATGATGTTATCGCTACGATAACATTTACACTTCAATAATTCTTGAAATTCCCTAAATATAAGTGAAGAAAGGTTGTAAAAAATTTAACAAATATACCAACATTGATTTGATTTAGTTTTTATTTAAAAATCCTCGAAGAAAGTAGGTATTTGCTGATAATTATTAATTAATATAATGCATAACTTCCCTAATATTCATCCAAATTACAAGGTTTTTGCCTGTTTACCAATTAGGTGAGGTAGTTACTAGGTAATACTTCCATTTTACTTTGAGGCTTATACAAATATCTTTAAATTTACAAAAAGAGAGAAATATAATTTGTATATTTTACTAATTAATCCAAAAATCAGATGGGAAATTATTTGGTGAGAGAAAGTTTGATAGAAAAAGGAACTAATATCATGATAAATTTTATATATAAACTAGGAAAATCACGTGTTTCTCCTGTTTATCTTTCAGATATTGCCTATATAAGGTATAGGAATTTAGATGCAGCATCCAGATATTGTTCGAATTTAGCAATTAATATTAATTACTCAACAAAAATGCCTGTATAGTTCATCATACAACATTAAAAATCCCTAAAAATACAGTAAAAAAGGTGACACTTCATTGTTTAAGTAAGCAGCACATTGTTCTCTGTGCTGTTTATCCTCATCTGATGGAAGGAAATCACTTAAAAATCCGAAAAAAATTGAATATTTCACGCTCTAATAATTAAAACAATACTTTTTAAATACTGTAATACTTTTGTATAACTTTAAATAAATAATAAAAAAAAATTAAATAATAGATTGTTATATCGAATATCTAGAATCTATTCTTTGCTAAGTTTCTACACGAAATGTGATTCTAAGCATTAAAAAAACGAGGGAAAAAAAGAAAAACACAAAAAAAAAATATTATTGATTTAAAGATTGAGAAAATGGATTTTACTGTCTGCTTAGACGAGAGATAAGAAGAATATATTCCATCCCCCATTCTCTCTCTCTCGTCCCTTTTATTATTTGTACTAGTTTCAAGATCTTGGCTCTTAAGCTCTTTCAAAAATTTAAATAATTCATTGGAAAATACAACTTCGATTAAATTTTAGTATGGAGGATGATGACGTAAAGAAATCCTGTTAAAAGGGTTGAAAGATTTTTACATTTTGTGTTCTTAAGTAGACGAAAAAATACATATATATTTTCTGGGTTATATATATATATAAAATTATTTTATCTTCGTCTCCCCCTCTTTTTTTCCATCAAAATATTAAATAATTAAAATAATCGGCTACGATTGGTTATATTTAAATTACGTTTTTTCAAAATTCGAATTTTTAATGTTTAATTGGTTGGTTTATATTGCGTATTTTAAACGTTTTTAATTTGTAAGCGTTTTATTGATCGATTCTTCTTACGCGTATTTTTAAAATAATTGCGAGCATTTAATTGGTTAATTGTTTTTTTTTTTTTCTCGAATTTTTACGATTTTAAGATTAAAATTAGGCCTATTAATTATTAAATCTTTAATTTTAATATATTTAAATAATTTAAATATATTAATATATAGGCCTATATTTTTTAATTTACGTCTTTAAATACGAGATAACTAACATAAAATTTCCTTATTGGTCAAATTAAAAATTCAGAAATTTAAAACGACCAATCGTTTGCTTAATTCATAAAAACATGAATAAATATATTTATTTTTAAGTTAAAAAATCATTAATGATGTTTTTTTTTATCCGATTTACGTAATTGACTGAAACGATATAATAGCATTTCCACGGAATTTTATATATATTTGATTTTTTAACAGACCACAGACGGAAAAATGAAATTCGTGAGAGCACTGCATATGATTCTACTACAGCAAAATACAAGCATCACCAGCATACTAAGAAGCATGCACCTTTACTAAGACCAAGAGCAGGTATGGGAGAAAGTTTTGCTACGGTTCAAAATATCCACCAAGAATAACAATCAATGGCAATGCGCTGTTGAATTTTTATACCAAAGTTCAATCGAAGTCTGTTTTCCATCAAGCAAAAGAAAAAAAAAAGGAAAAAAAAAAACTTTTTTTACGTAAGAAGGAATCTCTGATGATTACTTCTGGTGCTTTGCTTGGTATTCATTTCCCACAAGAGGAAATAAAATTCTGTGTAGGATAGAATAACTCTTTCTCATTCTATTCTGTTTGATAAGCATTCTATATTGGTGCAAGCTGTTCTATATAAACCGAAAAACCACTGAACTTCCATCAACTTGAGCTATTACAGTAGGAAAGAAGGGGGAAAAAATTAGAATATTTTGAAAAAACGTAGCCTAATAGGAGTAGCAGAGATACATAAAAGCATAGACAGGAAGAGCCCTTGATGTAGTGTGTAATAAATGTTTGGTACTCTTTATCCTGCAAGATTTAAAAGAATGGCTATTATTAAAATTTTCCTATAGAAAAAAACGGGATGTGCAACAGCAACCCCTTAAAAATGCCCCTTGATCTTTATCAGGTAATGAGTATGCAATTCTTCTTTCACATCCTTTATCCTTGAGAATTTCACGATTTTTTTTTAAATTGTTGCTTACTTGATAAATTTGACAGTAAAATTAACTCGTGTAAAGTTAGTTAATGCGTGAATTATTCGAAATTACAAACTTCCCATTAATTTTTAACGCAAAAGTAACATTTACGCAATATTCTTCTTCGATTGGATAATTTTGAAATGAATCGTCATCAATAACCAATGATAGTAAGTCTCACTTCATTCCATTAAATATATTATTAAACGTTACTCGACATTACAATTCGATTTAAATTTAAAAAGGCATTGGGAAATGTCTTGATTGGTTAATCGCAATTAAATTTGAATACCGCTAACCAATAATACTTGGAAACGTTACATAATTTAAAATTTGAAACAATGGTTAAAATGTTAATTACGTTTTAGCAACGTATCACCTAATTGGTTAGTTATGGCAAAGTTCGATCTCAATGACCAATTCCGTAATTAGTAACTAGGGGCAAGGATAATTATGAAAACTTTTAACTTCTCTCCTTTTATTCGAGTTGTAATCATACAGATACCACTTTCTATTATAATTACAACATACTCTACGCTCGATTAAAAACAAAACACATCAAAGAATATACCTTTTACTCCCGAAACATGGTATGGAATGGTAGACAGCAAGTAAATGGTTTCGGAAGTGATTAGTGGACCAGTTTGTTTCTCTTTTCCACTTTCTGATGTAATATGAGGTGATCGAGTCTGCCAAGCTGAGAGTCGATTAGAAGCACCACCGTTGGGTTATTAGCGTCGGTTAATTGCCGACCAGCCAGTTTGACGACTGTATTTGACATGGCGCCGTTAAAAACATCACCACTTTTCTGGTAACAAGTTACACATTTCCGCATGAATTACAAATTGAAATATTTCTGTTGTTCGAAACTAATTATCGATAAAGATAGTTCGAAAATTAGATCGTGACTTAGTTAAAGACGTTCCCTCCCCTATTCCAGTTTTCATTTGTATCCGCAACGATAATTGGATGATGATTAAATATCTATTTTTTTTTTTAACCAATTAACGAATTCGTTACTAATAATTTAAATTTAAAAATTATATCATTAACCAATCGGGTTATGCGTATTATATTCAAGTAATATTTTGAAAATTTGTGTTGATCTAAATGTAAAAGTTAATTATGAATAAATTTTTAAAAGTCTTCTATCGATGTTAAATCTAATTATGTTTAAAAATTTAATTCATTTTATTTTAATAATATTTACTTATTGTGATAGCTCGATGATTTAAACACGCTGACGATTTAATCCAATCAGGTTATTCGTATCATAGCGATTAATTATTCTTCAAAAATTTTGAAAATTTTATTAGACAAATATCATATTTTATATTTAAAGTTTATTATTATTTAATAAGATAAATTTAAATAATATAAAATGTCATCGTTGACGATAATGTTGTTTGTTTAATTAAATTAAGCAGACGATCAAATATTACTAATTACTAATACGTCATGTTGATTTAAGAAATTAATTTTCATATTTTTTAATGTTTGTTTATTAAAAGTGATAAGATAAATATTAATTTTATTTAAAAAAACAAATTTTTCATCTTATATTACATATTAGAAATATTTATTACTTATTTAAATCATTTACGAATGAATCTGATTGGTTGTTATGGTAACGGTTTGAGTTTGTTAACTAATGAAACTTGTTTTTTTATTTTAAAAAAGATGACGAAAGTAGACGTCATTTATTATTTAAAATTTAAAAATTTTTAAAAAGATATAACGTGTATATATTTGTGTGACGTAATAAGATATTTATTAACTAATTAAATTTTAATATTTAATCTGATTAAGACTTTATTTTAAAACGGTAAACTTAATCTTGTAGGCAAAATTTTCACGAATTTAATAACTAGACATTAATATGTAATTAAATAAATCATTTATATGAAACGAAAGGTATTAAAATAAAGATATATATATAATTTTTTACGTTGGTTTACAGTAATTAATTAAGAAAAAATAAAATAAAACTTTTCTAAACAGTTAATCCTGATAAGTAAATAATCTACTTTAAGACTTAAATCTGTCTATTAATCAGATTAATATTTGTTCTTTTCAATAAAATATTTGCGATTTGATGTTTTAAAAAATTTCATTAATGCTGTTTACGATTAAATAATAAAAATAATGTTTTAAATAATCCTCGTAATTTCTACGTTTGATTGGTTATCAGAAATTTAAAATTTCAAAAATTATCCAATCATATTGAGTCGAATGATAACATATTTTATTTTTTATAGCTTTAAATTAAACAAATCCCTAAGTCGTAATTTATCTGTATTAATTAGTGCTATAAAGTTATTAGAATTAATTCAAACTCTTTCTTATTATTATTTAATATATTTTCTTGTTTATTTTTGAAAGAAGTTATTGGTCAGTTTTAAAATTGCGAATTTTCAAAATTCTGTGTGAGATTTAATAGGCCTAATTATTTATTAACGTATATTAGTTGTTTAATTTAAATAATAAAAAGAATATTTAATTTATAATTAATACAATAATTCGGGATTAAACAATATAAATCGCTAAAGGTTCGTATCGGCAATCGTTATTGGATCATTTTTAAATACAGTTAAATTTATAGCCAATCGAGTAATTTATTTAAAATGATTTTGCTGATTTATCAATTAAGAACGAATATACTCGAGTAAAATGTTTATATTATTATTTTTTTATAATCAGTTAAAGTAGTTTTTGTGTGTAGGAAGGCAACAAAGGAGAAAAAGCAATAAGATATTGTCCCATTCCCCGCACAAAGAAAATAAAGACTGGCAAAACCTCCCCATTGGTGGTCAGACAGAACTCACACGACATAGCTAAAGGTGAAAGCAAAGAATGGATGCCTGTCATCTGGGACTTGGATACAGAATCCAGGAACGCCTCTAAAACTCACTCCTAGCTTAACAGCAATGGGGGAGGATTGATAGGGCGGGAAGTCGAATTTATGACCCAGGGCTCGGGTTTTCTGCAATCACTTGGCCTCAGTTTCATTACTACTGTCTGTTGGCAAGAGATTTACTAACGCCCTCGAGACGAGAACAGCACCATCAGGTCCCATGTGGACCCATAGCAAAGACACCTTTCTGGATACTAGTTTGTTCTATTTACTAGATACGCAATTTTATATACCTACTGTCGAATTAATGTTTATATTAATTTATAGTAATATAATAAGAAACTTACCTGTCTTTCGTCGTTCAATACTTCAGTTCGCCACATGAAAAGAAAAAGGGGAGATAAATTATTAGAAAGGGGAACCATTTTTTAAAATAATAATCGTCCTCGATACTGACTTCATTTTCTTGTAAAGACAAATTATGGCTTCCCCTTTTAAGGGTAATAATGTTATAATATCAAATTTTGGACAAAAGCCCATTTTTTTCTGAAGTCAGTTTCGAGTGGTAACATTTTTCAAAAATTATATACAATAAAGGAATAAGGAGAGAGAAGAAAAAAATATATATAAAAAAGGAATTCTAAAATATACTTCTCCCTCTGATTTATGGAGCAATACGACAGTAATGGTTTAAACGATGACATTAATCTAAACAATAATATAAATCTCTATACAGATATGAGGCTAAAATGTACATTTATCTTGTATATTTATCTAGAAGGATATGGGTACAAATATATATTGTATTAAACCATTCTTAAGTGCGACCTGAAGGAGTTGTATAAATGTATAATTTACTCCATTAACAATTATCGAAAATATTTTGGTTTGCAAACGTGCATTGTACCTGTGCAATTGCTAACATTAATCCTTTGGATGTTGTCGGGTTGATACAGATAATGGCAGAGTAGCTACGCTTATTGTCATCTTGATTAATTATGTCCGTTAGGTGCAGTCTCTATGGACTACCACTGCTGTGTTGAGTGATTGTCATGGTTTGTTGTCAGCAGATCTTCCACCTATTAACATGACAAGCTTTAATGACAGGATGTATGTTATTGGGATTTCAAATTCCAATCAATGCACCCTCCTATATTGGATGGCTTTAAATGAAGGAGAGCGGGAGGACTCCTTTATGGTACGAATGAATTGCCCCCAAATAACTTTTAAAAGCACAATACTCCTTTTTAAACCACTTATTATACCAAAGGGAGGAAGAAACAAAGGAACCGAATACCAATTACGAATGCCTTTTTGGTTCTTTTTAAGAGTTTCGGAAATGCAAGGAACATCTGGTATTCTAACTAAACCCCGATGGGTTTGGTTAGTACAAAAGAGGGTACTGTATAGATAAGACTAATTTCCACAACTGTGTTAGCCTACATGGGCCATTAAAATTTAATTAGTACAAATTGCAACACACGACGTCAGTCTAAGAAGCTGTAAACAGATTTCGGTGACGTGCAAATTCACGTGACAATAACACATTTCTGAGTCAGCACGGCGAAAATGTAAATTTCAATGATGTCACGCATTGTAATTTGAAAGTCTGGTGTGACTTGGATTATGTCATAATTAGAATAAACGTACTGTACTTAAACAATGTTTCTTTATTTTTCTTTTTTTTATGTAACAAAGATAAAATGTTATTCTTACCAGAATTCGTTCTTTTCTCATCTCTCAAATCTTTTAAAGATGACGAGCTGACTGCTGATGATAAATGAGAACCGGGTCCACTGGCTGACAATGAACCTGAAAGCGCCAACAATCCTGCAGCGCTGCTGGGTGGAAGTGTTGGCGGTTGAAGACCTGCCATTGCAGCAGCGTGGGGCATCATATGTAAAGGTGGCGCATGAGCGTGTGGTGCAATTTGTTGGGCATGCATTTGTTGCTATAAATAAAATACAACAAAATAAAATTCAAATATACATCGAATCAAAAATACTTCAAATGATTCTAATTTGACATCCAACCCGTTTTTGTTATCCGGGTGACGAAATAGTATAGATGTCGCATTAGTGTCATTTGGAGTATAAATGGCACGGATGTTTAAAACTAATGAGGCGCGACAACATCGAAACGTTAGGCCAAAGTGCATCTGGTAACAATATGTCTAGCAAAAAGTGACAGCTAACTTGTGAGGGGAATGTGTAGGCGTGACAAACAGATGTCACCTTTAAACAAACAGTTCTAAACTGCACGTGTGTCCCATTGGCCCCGGGGTTGTCTTCTTAAATTTCTTGGCTAACTTGTCATTCCCAGCAGAACCCCTACGAATAAGGGAAACTCTGCTATTTTCGAAACATACCGAAAATGTGGCATTTTACTTTCAGCTATTTTCCAAAATGGCCAATCAAATAAAAGTCTGTTACTTTCTTAACAATAGAATCTTTTATGCAAGTGGCACGTTTCGATATCGTGGCAAAATTTTAATCGAAAATAATATTTATTTAAAATTATCGTTATTTTTATTTATTTATTTATTTATAATATAGTATTTAACAATTAGCATGCAAAATTTCGTGCAACATGAAAATTCCACAAAATTTCACAAATAAAACAACATAAAATAAATAAATAAATAAACAAACAAAACACCATGCTGCATGCGAATTTGTATAATGCTGACAGCCAAGGTGTATTATGATTTCACCTGTATGGCTTGTGTCTTCTCAGTCTGTAGCAATTTCTGGAAAAGTTAGAAAGTCTGTGGGAGTATGTGGTAAAGATACAACAATAATTAAGTTAACAGAAATGCCATACTTTATTTAATATTAGTATTAGCCATTATCCAACATGGCCGCCCAAAGTCCATGCATTCACAACAAAAGATCAGTTTCCCCATCTGGGTCGTGTTTTAATCACATCATAGAAGCCATATAATCACACTCTCAACTCTTGTGCACGATTCCCTTTACTCATTTGCATAATTTAGTACCAAACTGGTCATATCTCTGATACCAAACCATTAACGCCTAGCCTTTACTAAGGCTTGAAAGGCTGAGTCATTTACTAGTGGGTGTGACGTCACGTTTCGCAGTTTTACGTGTTTAGAAAGCTAAAGATAATGTTTTAAGCTATTTTTGATGCTGGAAAGCATGCCCGGTAATTTTTTTTAATATATATCTGCGCTAAACAAAGAGATGTATTGTAAGCAACTATACTACCTTCATGCACTGCATTAAATACACACCAGTAAAACACATTTTGATGCAAAATACTCTTAAATTGCATGTCTGTTGCGGTATTCATAATGCGTCTTTATTTATGCTATATAAATACTTTTAACAACTCCTGTAATTTGGCATAATGAATTTTGAAAAAAAATTCCAAAATATAAAACCTTGATTACTACTTTAAATTCCCTCTACCATTTTACCTCCCTTTTTAAGACGACGCAATAATCATTAAAAACATTATACCATAGAGCTTAGCTATATATATATAAATACACACACACAACACATTTACACGTAACCATTAATTATTTGAAAATTTAAAAATTCAAATTGTACGACGTTAGCAGTTTATGAGTACAAATTTCGATGAGGTAATGAACTGTAGCGACACCTACGAAGAATGTTAGCGCGTAACGTGACCGAATTCGAACATGGCACGCGCTCACGCAGAGATTGTAAATTTCATTGACATCATGCAAACAATGCAAATTTCTCTGACGTCACGCAAAGGTATTCAAACATTGATGACGCTGATGATGTCAAATTTCGCTGATGTTTTTACATTAAATATAAAAAAAAAATAAAGGGAAAAAATTCAGGAAAGAAACATGCTTGACATAATAGACGATTGTTTGAAAATAATAAAGTGGAAATGCAATTTTGAGTGCTTTTTTTCAGTTTATTTTTGATCATTAAGAAAAGGTAGTCTACGAGTTTTTCTTAAGCGTTTATGTTATTGTATCGTTTAAACGCCATTTTATCTCCATGCGTGAAAAGCTTCAGTAATTTTATTTTATTTTATTTTTTTTTATTATAATATTAAAAAAAGCTACTTTGTTTATTCTGAAGCGAAAATAAACATACATTTTTTTTTAATATTCGGATACACTTTAAATATTCAAATTTAAACTTATAAGAAAAGCCACCAATAAGAGAAATAAATTACGTAATTGATTAAATATTTAAATTTGAATTTTATTTCGACAAATAAAATTATTTCAAATGTAATGACGTCACTATCAAAGAACGAATAGGAAAAAAAAATTTTAAATTGATTTAAATTTAAACCGGGACAGCGTAGTTGTTAATCCACAAGAAATATTCAATTTATATTTTAAATTTAACATTTTTCTGACGCAGTTAGGAACATTTATAAGTTTCACGCTTAGTTTTAAAGTTACGAGCTGGAGTAACCAATACAAGAAGGAAATTTTGTAAATGATTAAAAATTCAAATTCAAATTTTATTTCGACGAATAAAATAAGTTCAACTCTGACACGTCATCATCGGCTAACGAATAAGAAAGAAGAAAGAGAAATTTTAAATTTAAAATCACTGTGACTTCATCGTCGTTATCCAATAAAAGAATTTTGAATTCAGATAAAAATAAATCAACTATTAAAACTAAAAAAAAAAGAAGTTAAAATGGAAGAGGTTATTCACTCAATAAAGCTTTCATATAAATTAATTTTGTTTTAATTTTTTATTTTGAAATTTTTTTTCTTTATAAATATTGCTGCCAAATTATGAGTTACAGAATATGTTTTGCTTTGATTTAAATTATTTATATTTATTATTATTTTTTCTATAACGCATAAACCAATAATTATGATTATTATTATCATTATTTTTATTGTGATTATTTTAAAATTTTAAAAATATTTAAATATATTAATAACTATTACCTACCATTAAATGAGCAATTCCTGTGTGCTGCTGCTGAAAATAAAAAAGAAATAAAAATAATAAGTAAAAAGAATTAACGAGGCTTTATATATAAATATAAATAAAATTAAAAATTAGCATTTTTTAAAAATATAATTTTTAAAATCATTTTCTAAAATTTAAAAATTAATGACGTCAATATCGATAAAATAAATGTTTCTGTATTTAAATTTAAATTTTCAAGCTCGAGCAACCAATAAGAGAGAGAAATGTTGCAATTGATTAAAAATTCAAATTCGAATTCTGTTCCGACGAATAAAACGATTTCGATTCCAACGACGTCACTACCAACGGACGAATAAGAAAAACGAATGAGAAATTTAAACTGATTTAAATATAAAATCATTGTGACCTCATCATCGTTAGCCAATAAGGATTTCTTAATTTATATTTAAATGTTTTTGGGGTTATATATATTTATTTGTAAGTTGACGTAATAGATTATGTGATATTTTATTTAGCGTTGTTTTTTTATATTTTTTAATAGATAAATTTTTTTATTTAACATCGAGAAATGTTATATTTTCTTTTTTTTTCTTCAATTAAAACACTCGAAGAAAATTTAATCTTGTCCAAAAAGAACAAGATCAATCTTAGACGTGGATTGAGTAACAAATGGTAGTTTCCCCCTTCTCTCAGAACAAGTTGATGACGTTGAGAAGCCAAGTGTTGAAATGGGAGTTTTACAGCACCAATAAAACGCACTGTTACAATTGAACAAGATTTTTATCCGTAGACTCGGCTCCTGATTGCTCGAAGCTGCACGCAAGAAGACCAACAATGCTGTTACTTTCTTGTCATTAATACCAGCAAGTCGTAACCTATATATCGTGAATGGACATCTCTCTAAACATGGCTTATAAAGAGAAAAATTGGTGTTGCCGTTATAACATAATTCACACTATGTTCAGTTACGTCGGTTATAATAATTTACTTCTGAAAATTCTCTTCAAAATGTTTTATATCCTATAACAAACTGTGCCATATGAAACACTTTTTTAAAGCCTCTTTTTTATATAAAACATTGATTTAATGATGAAAATTAGAAGGTAGAAGAGAGAAAAGTGCCGAGTATTGTTTATTTTCTTGTATTTAAACAGCATTTCTGGCAGAAATCATATAACAGTACAGAACCGTACTTCAGTTGTTTAATGTTCTCAATTGGAAGAACATTACAATACATTGGAGATATTGATAAAGTGAAGAGACAGAATCAAGAGTTTTCAAGTTTACTCTTGTCAATATCTTATGACTCAGCCAAAATTTCCACTACAATGTCCACTTAACTACGGAGCCGATCTCGTGAAAGATAAATATGTACAGTATGAAGTTACCATAAATTGATATTTGATCCTCGACATCAAAAATAATCTTGCTCGCAGTTGATACAGTTACCATATCAGATTTGGTTTCCTTCCACCCCTCTCACATGCCACATTTCCCGTTCCGGTTTCTGCACTGCCGGAAATGTTTGTTCACTTACGCCCATCCGAACAAAACCCGGAGGTAGACATTTATTGTCCTTTATTGAGGACAAAAATGGGGATTAAAATTAATTTTATCTTTCTTTCTTCTGTTTTCTTTCATTGTTACAGAATTTAAAATTTTAAACGTGATGTTCATTAAACGCGTGTACAGGATATGACGTGCGTGCAGTTTTAAACCAATGAGATTCGACGTTCCTTCTGTGTGTGTATGTATGTGTAATTGGCACATTGGATTCGTCTACCTCCACGCAGTTCGGTTGTAATTAATTAGGTGGTGGAGTCAACGGTGCGGATCGTTGATTTGCCGCCTCTCCGTCTACCAAGAGACCATTACACGCTTGGTGTACATCAGTCTCGCCGGAATGTTACATGATCGTGTGGTGAACGCCCTCTATCGGAAAACAATTGAAGCGTTGGAGAAACCGCGGCCACCCCAATTTCAAATTTAACATTATTATTTTCGATCAGGCGGATTCTCTAAGGCATTAAAATCCTATAAATATACCTTCCTACAACTTTGACACTAAACAAACTAAACTAAATTCCACGGTGTACAACGTACGGGTCACGTATGCAAAATAGGAGTCCTAATGGCCACTATATATACAGAAAGATAAGATATGGTTTAATAGCTTACCCCAATAATAGCATTAAGTTCGGTCATTGTGACTTGTTTAGCTCTTTCAACCGCTGCTGCAACTTGCTGTTGATGCTGGAAAGGGGGAAAGAAGATATCATTTACAAGTTAATGACACTACTCACTATACATACATTTGACACTTGTTTGCGTGACCTTAGAAAGTCGTTCCCAGTTTAAAGTGTCTTCTGGTACTTGACACTATTACAAATTGAACAGATTGGAACCAGATGTTATTAAGTTATTAAGAATACCCGACGGTAAATATTTATTAGATAATTTTTTAAACTTATAGTGTTTAAAAAAAGTCAAGAGATATCTCGAGTATGTAGAAACTCTATATTAAAAAACGTACTTCCCTATTTTTATTTATAAATCGAGTTTAAAAACACAGGAAGAATTTAAAAAATTACAAATTGGATTTGTATAGTTTCCATTCATTATTGAACATTGACGTATACAGAAGTTGTAATTTTTGTAAAAAGGACAAGATATATTGCGATTTTTAAAAAAACTAAATTATAATTTGTAATTGAGAAATGTCAATTTCATACGTAACAGAGAAATTGTAATTTTCGAAACTGATTCATTTTCTGTAACAATGAAAAAAACACAACTTTTTGAAATTGTCTTTTTCATTTTTGCGTTTTTTCAAAAAAATGTAATTGAAACATTTATTGTATTTTTTAGAATTTACAATATTTTGTAAAAAACGCTGCCTTTTCTTTACAAAACATTGTAAATTTTTATTTTCGTCTTCATAAAAATTAAACAGAAATTTTATGAGAAAAGCTGCACATCCATAAAATAATACTTTAAAAATATATTTATATTTTTCCAACATGAGTAAATAAGCAAATAAATCATAATAAAGATGTATATACATATTTTAAATGAGAATTTCAGATTATCGTATATATATAGAATAATCCATATGAGAACATTTTAAAAAATTCACGTTTAAAAAAATAAATAAATTGTAATTTTGTACATTTTATAAAATATCGATTTTCTTTCTTTCTATCTTTTCTCCTTTGAGATTTTTCGTAAATGAGTACAAAAAATAACAGGTGAAAAAAATAGTATTCCGCATAAAATAGTAAATTTTTAATAACAAAAAGGTGGTATATTATTTACGAATTTTCTTCAGATTAATTTTTATTTTTTAAAGTTGCGAAATTGAAGGAGTGAGAGTAAGAAAGAAGGGGGGAGAGAGCGAGGTGAGAGTAAACGAAAAATAAATAAATAAATAAAAATAAATGTATTTTATCTTAAAACTTCTATCCCTATAGGCGCTTTTAGTTATTGTAACCGAATGCCCTCTTCAACATGATAACATTATCATTTCCCGACTTTAACTTTTGACGTCTGTCAGAAATTATATCACATTGTAATATGAGAACCATTTCTATCAACGTTTGAACACAGCAATCCTATACTTTGCAATGTAAACCGAGTGGTCTTCCTGTAGTCTACACAATAGCGACAGAAAAATATTTTTTTTTAGTTTTTTTTTTGCTTGAGCTGCGAAAATTTGGTTTTTACATTTTTTTCCTCCTCCTCCTCCTCCTCATCCTTTTCTCTTTCTCTTTTCTTCTTATAACAAGGATTTATTTGGGACCTGTTTCTACTAAAACATACTTTCTAACCGAATAATACGTAATATTCAACACTACGTATAGGTTTATAGAATGGTAAAGTAATTATAAGAATATTTTGAAGTTAAATTGTTACTCAGGTAAGATTTTTTTAAAACTGTAGTAGAGTAATTACTAACGAATTCTCTGGTTTTATTATTAATGCATTAGCTGGAAAACGCGTTCAATTTTCTTTTCTTAATTGCTTCGTTTCTCAATGCATATGCGAATTGAAGCACCAACATAACAAACAAATTTCACATTTTCGCATATTAATTCGAATGAGTACAAAATTAATTTTTTTCTACGTTTTTTTAATGATTTTTTTCGCGTTTTTTTTTTCGAGTAAAAAAATGATATATATAAATACGGTTTCTGAGTATGTAAAGAGGAGTAAGTTATGTTTATGTTTAATTAATTATTATATACGTTTTCCCCCTCTCCTTCCCATTCTTCTCTCCCTTAAATACTTTAAATCAATGGCAAAAAAATAAGAACAAACTCAAGAAGGAAATTGCAATTTTCGAAGTGATTTCGCATCATTTAAATTAATTAAAAAAGTTCGTTACCTAAAAAGATCGTTATTAAAACTTTTCGAGACGGAAATGTAATGGTTTAGTAAACATAAAACTTCTCTTTAAGCAATGAAGATGCGAGTGATGGTCTATTGCACCTGTGATTTACAAATTTTCTTCTTTTGTAAAACTTGCAATTCGCTTCTATTAATACTACTGGAAACAACAGATTGTGTTAACTCGATTTAACTTAATCTAGTCGAAGATTTAAAACAGTATTATCCGACAATTAAAGATAATGTCCTGTTAAGTAATAATTATCTATTATAGTATCATTCTAGTTTTAATTTTATTTTACTTTCGACAGAAAAATAAGTTGACGTAAAAATTTTAAACAACGAAGAATCTCAACTAAATTAAAAAAAATAAATCTCTATAAACATTTTATTATATATATATATATANATTTATGTAATTGAAATATTTTAAGAATTAAAAAATGTTTAAAAGTTGTAAATAAATATTTCAATTCTTGTTGAATAATATTTATTTTCAATTTTTAACATAAGATTTAAACTTTTTTAACTATATTATAATAAAGTTTAAAAAGAAAAATCTGTTAAAAATGAACTGATCTGATATTTATACATATTAAGTTACTTTTTGACAGATTTTATTCATTAATTTTAATTAGTAATAATTTTTTTAAAATATTTATGTAAATTATTTATTTAAATTCTATTTATTTAAAATTAAAAACAGAATGTTCAAAAAATTATTTTTTAAGTTTTGTAACTATCTAAACTTAGTACTATCATTATCCTATATATATAATAAAAAAATATATATATATATAAAGAACGGACGTATTGTTATTTTTAAGAAAAGTTTTATTAGATATCAAAACTTAAAAACAATTTAATTTGAAAAAGAAAAATAATCATAATAAAAAAATAATAATAAAAAATAGTTTTACTTTTAGAGGAAGAAACAGCGAATTGCGTTTCTTAGATATCTTTTCAATAAAAATAAAAAATAAAAAAAGAAGAAGAAAAAGGGAACAAAGAGCGTGGTCATAAAAACAAAGAGAAAAAGCCACTCTGTGGCCTTCTCTCTATCAGTTTCTGCCATCAAATTCTGTAAAGAAGTAGTGGTCAAGACGACCTCAGGCTGTCTTTCAAACATCTATCTAATTACTTTTACAATCGGGCAAGATCCATCACACTAATTCCTTCTTGGTAGAGAAAGAGTTGACAAACAAGGATATATAGGGCCTATTAATTTTTTTTCTACTTAAAAGCTATATCCTACGAATTTATATGCATAAGAAAATGGTGTTTGCATTGTTTAAGCCACCCCAAAAGGGGATAAAAATCACTTAATTGAAATTTTTTAATGTAAACTTACATATACGTATACAAAACATAAGCTTATATTATATGCTATAAATTAATAAAACTACCAGACAAATAAAAATGGAGGGGAAAAAACAGGTTTGTCTACAATAAAATTTATATAAAACTAAGCAATAGCTCTTGTAATACTTAATCAGTAAGTAGGATATTCACTTAAATGATTTTTCTTTCTAGAACACAATGTAAAGAATTCAATTAAGCGTTTTATTTCTTCCCTTCTTAAAGGCCTATTTAATAATTTTTTTTCTTGTAAGCTCCTTGAATTTTTTAAGAAAAAAAATTTTATGTGAAGTTGAAAAAAATTAAAAAAAAAAAGAGTAGAGAATGAATCATCTGAACGTTCTTGGTGAAGTTGTTTTGTAGATTAAAAGAAGAAATGTAAAAAAATATGATAATTATCACTTAAAAAATATCAATTTAATAATGCATTTTAATGATTCTGTAATGTACAAGATTGCATTTTTTTTAAATTGTAAATTTTGAAATAAACAATTTACTTTTAAAAAAAATAAAAAATTCAAGTTCGTAACAAATAGCTTAGAAATGTAACATACAACTTTTAAAAATAGCAATTTCTGAAACAGACAATTTAGAAATGTACAAGTTTTAAAGAAATAAAAATAAAAAAAGAAGAAAAAACAATTCACTTTTTTTCGGGCAAGAAAAACTTTCATTAGACATTGAAAATTTAACGGTTTAATTTAAAAAGAAACGAATAAAAAATAATAGAAAAAAACTTTACACTGGAAAAAATTTAACCAATTTTAATGAACCAGACATTTTCTCGTATAACATATAAAATTCAAGATTTTTATAGTTTCTACCAGTGACGACAACTAACAGAAATGTTCATACTCATAACGATTTTCTCGTAAAGTCACCATATAAAACCATAAACATAACTCTCATTTGTAGCATCTAAAGTGGGGTTTATATATAAATACTGTATAACATTTTATATTAATAATATTAAAATAGTTAGAAGTAGAAAATTAATTCGAATAATGTTTTAAATGAGAAAATTTCGATATATATATACATACATACATACATATATTTTCCCCTCCCTAAAGTTTTAATCCTCTGCGGCATTTTAAATTATTTTTCGAAACAAGTTGGCCGTCTCATAATGATCTAGCGCCATCTAATGGTATTTAAGCCAAGCTCGAGAAGCTAAGTAAAAAAATCGAATTAATTTCCCCGTCTCATCCTTTATAATTTCCGTTAATGGAAGCAAAAGCTGAAGTGTAATTTTAGTAGAACTATTTACTATAATCAGTTAAAGATTGATAGCGAAATAATAAAAAAAAGAAAAAGCGAAAGAAAACAGAATAAGGAAAAGAGACCCCAAAAAATCAATCACACATAATAGCAATAAGGAAGAAAGAAGAATTCCCTCAGGTGTAATTCCAAAGGCGAAGAAGTCCACTTCTGCCAAACAATAGTCTGAACAGGGGCGCAGGAAGGAAGAAGGGGGGTTGGAGTGTCAGCCAGAGTCGAGAAAAAATGCCAGCTCGGTGAAAAAGAGAAGTCGCTAACAGGCTATTCTTGGCTGTTCCCAGGCCATCAGCCAGCTTGCCTATCGACAAGCAAGCGCACGCTTGCAATCTATGTCTCACTCAACGTTGACAGCGTTGCCTTGTCCGAAACCTCTTTGACAGGAGAAATTAGGTTTCCTGAAGGACTGGATGACTTAGCTGATGTCAATCTAAAGATGATAACTTACAATTTAAGGTTACCATCCCACATAAAATGACTTTTTAAACAAGAGATGGACGGGCTACCCCATAAAATACTTTCTAATTTTTTTTTTCTCCAGGTTTTCTTCGCTTGGGAATATTTTTCAGCTACATATTCGATTGGATATCGGCAATCTCTGGGATAACTTTCCATATTTGAAAATATTTCGTGTCGTACGGAGGCTGCAAAAAAGTGCTTCTAGCTATACCGAAGCGGCAAACAATCTGGAATAGGGAAATTACAGGCTGATATGGAAAGAGATAATTTTTTTAGGGTAGGTTATTAGAAAAGAGGGAAAAATCACGAGATGTAGAATAAATGTCACACGAAGGTAAGAAACAATCTGTCGGAGTAGAAAATAAATCAAAAATAAAAATAAAAAATATGAAAGAAGAGTCCTTTGGTGCACCCTTCGCGACATTCTAGTGTCCACACCGGTATTTGGAACATCTTTACCTTTCCTTATTGGAAAAGGGATGCTGCAGGCTGAAAGATCAAAGTCACGTGATACGGCCAAACAAACATGGCTGTGTGTTTACTGGTATGTGTAGAGGTGCGAGCACAAACTTCGATAGTGTTTGTCGTTACATCCGCAAGAAAATAGAAGAAAGTACAGATGGGGACGAAGTTCTTCCTAGTACATATCCGTTGTTTTTTTATTATCCATTTGTTTACCTTCCATTTTTGAAGTGAATCCCGAGAGAAAATTGAAAAGTATCACGAAGTGAAAAATAAAAAAATTCACGTGTATGTATATATATATATAACTAATGCTTTTCTTTTTTTAATTTTGCATTAATGCAATAATATATTAGTTACGTAAAATTAGCGTAATATTCGGGATAACATTAAATGTGTTATTAACCCAATAGGCATTAACGCAGCTGCCATATACCACTAACTACAAAGTTTGAATACACCAATTAATTTACTCGCATCCCTAACATAATCCTCGTAACCTAATCACACTCTAGTAACGGTGGAGTGTGTTACATTACCGCTAAATTAACGATACAGATCAGATATTGTGACTTGTTACATTATAACAACAGCGAGGAATAGTGTTTGCGAAATTTAAATAGTCCTAAGGACTATACGTGTATACGTCCTCGATAATTTATTGGATAAATAAGACGTAATTAACTTAATTTAAGGGGGAGATAGATAAACTAGCGTTATTCGATTTGCTTCTTAAAGAAAGTCTGCAGATAATAAACAGTTTATAATATGGGAGACATTTTGTTTGTTTGTTCTCAATCAACGAGAAATCGAATTGAAAATTCCTAAAAGTCTAGTTGATATTCAACCATCTTCTGTTTCTGATTTAATTTTCTAAATTCCACAATCTGACCATAGCGTTCGATAAGGTTCCTATGAGAGTAGCAGACAATTGGTTGGCATGTTTGAACACAATACTCGATGCAACTCACAGAACAAGCGAGCAAACCCTTTTGTCATTGGCATACGGCTCACATACGAATTCCTCCAGCCTTTGTGTTATAAACGGTTCAATGGTTTCCAAACGAATCCCTGTTGCAATTTCACTTGATATCTGACCGCAGCACAAATTTGAAGACAATTACAACGGGCCACCTCTCATTACATCGAACACGCGACAAAATTGATGACGTCAAAATTAATGGAATAAGAGAAGAGGAATTTGAAATAAGAAGAGAGAGAGAGAGAGGGGGGAAAAATGCCCTCCTGGTAATTTGTTTCGTCAAAACTATTTGCAGAGTCAAATTACGCTTTATAAAATATTTTGGCAAGCGTTAGATCATAAAAATGTTTTATAGTGGTTCCACTTAATTGTTTCTTTGGAAGAACAAAAATAAAAAGAGATTTTTCTGATAAACATCCAAAATAAATTAACAGCCTGTTATTCTTGCTGGAATTGCGTTTTGTAAACGTTGAACAACAGCGTAACAATTTTGGAATAGTGTAACGTAGATTTTCTTAAAAATATTAAAAAATATAAATAAATAAATTCCTTTTGTTAATGAATTGCATTTTCTGCAGCTGTTTAAATTGTTTGTTATTATTATTTTTTTTAAATAAAAATAAATGATCAATTGATAGTTTGTATTTTAATAATTTATTTTTCGCGTGTATTGTTATAATAATAAATTCTTTTGTTTATCTCTTGTGTTATTTATATGTATATTTCATATAAAATATATTGAAATGTCCAAGGAAATAATAATAGAAAAAAAATGTAAATTACATTAAAATGTAAATGATTAATTTTAAATTTAAAAAAACGCAATTGACTTTTTTCTTTTTACAAAAATCTCACGCGAAATTGACATTTTTAATTTCTATTTTTTTTTTTAAATTAAAGTAAATATTACTCGTTTAAATTACACTTTAAAACTTGTTTAATCTGTAATAACGATGATTATTTTTTAATAAAGTAAAGAAAAATTAATTATCAACTTACCTCTTGCGATAAAAAAGGCAAAATTTGGGCAATGATTGCATTTAATCTTTTGGCGATTTCAGACTGTAAGAGAGAAAAAAATTAGAGAAATTTATATTGATATTTTTTTTAATAAATTAAAAAGAAAAAAAAACAAATTTTAAATTAAATTTATTTATTTAACTGTACTTAAAAAGGGAGGAAATTCGACATTTATAAATATTCACTTTTACACGCTTAATAACTACAAAGTCGCAATCATTTAGAGGAAGTTTGAGAAGAGAAATCAAGGGGAAAGGGGGGAGGAGGCCCATTCAGTAAAATGGGGAGAAGTATATATTGCGAAGGGTCAACTGTAGACTCAACACGGACCACTGCTCATATGTAACCGTTGTCATCAGTTTCGCTAGCTCTTGTCGTTAAAATCGCATGTGTCACGAGGTCATGAGAAACTTATTTGGAAGCTTGCCCCTGCCGAAAATCGTTTTGCTTTAATTCTTTTTTATTTATTTTTTTATTCTTCTTCTTCTGATGCTGATTCTATTATTTTAATTTGGCGTTTGTTTTGCGAGGTACTTAATGTAAGGATCCTATACAATGAAATGATACAAACAATTGAGATGAAAGATCACCATCTCCGCTTCCGTGCCTGAGCATTGAGTGTTCCAAAGATAACACTCGAACCCGTAATCAGTTTGTTGCAGTAATTACGAGAGAAAATAAGTGATTTTTTTTCAAGATCCGGCATCAATTATCTTGTTTTATATGAAAAAAATAGAATTAATATTTTTACTTAAAAATGTAATTGTAAAATATCCGTCTTAACAGTACTAATCACAGTTTTATTAAGTAAAATATTAAATACTTCGTCGTAAATTTCGAAAACATAAAATCTACCTTTTTTTTTTATTATTATTGCTAATAAATCAAATTTTAAAGAAAATGGAAACAAATTATTAAAAAAAGGGCAGAAAATTCCGGCCATTAGTACGCATTTATAAAGTTTCATCTTCGGATACTTAATACTTGATAGATATACTTTATCTCAATTAAATTTATTATTTTCCATACTTACACTAGAGGAAATTGTATATTATATAATCTATTCTGCTATTAAATTGATAATAATTTATTGAGAGACATTTTCTAACACTTCAGCTTAATTTATGACTAGATAATATGATTTATTATGCAACTTCTTAATAGCTTCGTAATGTAAATGTTCATCCCATTTAGGGAAATGGTTATTCATTTCAAAGAGAAGATATAAGGAAAAATCTACAAACATTAGTTTATTCTGGTGATAAAAGTTCATAGATAAATGTTTACTCGACTCATATAAACAGTAGGGGAAAGGAAAAAGTAAAAAAATAAAAGATATTCGAAACTCAAGATCTTAAAAGAAACGTAAAAACACGAGTCTTTTGCTAACTATGTCAACATCTTTACAATTTTGACAAGTGATATTGAACAGAATCTCGAAGACAAATGTTTGTTTGGGGAGGATACGACAGTTAATTAAATTTGAATATTTTACTAGGCTTGTAATTAGCTTCAAAAACACATCACAAAAGTTGTCATTTTTATTTATTTTTAAGCGTTGTAATGAATTTTTTCTCCTTAATTCTTCCTCCTTTCCTTCCTTTACTTCCAATTAACAGAATGAATTTAATTGTTTTATCTTTTTATCTACGCCAAGATTTATCTACACGAAACTTCATCCAATGTAATGTTGATTATTTCTAGTAAAATTTCTAATTAATTAATTATGTATAATTTTTATTATTATTTAAAATAAATAAATATGTTATAGGATAATGTTTAAATTACTTATTATCCGATCGATAATCTCGTTAAAGCTGTAGCAATTATAAGAAATATTTGATGTAAATTATATAATAATTCCCAACTGGTAGTTCGCGAACGCTTGGAGATAATTTGAACTCCTGTTTTAATCTTCATTACATGTAAATAGAATTTAAAAATGGTTCGAAAACCTTGATTTAACGTTCTGTTCAATGGTAAATACGTAAGAAACAATCGTGTTAAGTATATCAATTATATATTAGTTCCCAAATGGTAGCTCGCGAGTCCTTAGGGAGGTGATGAAATGAGCTCATGTATAATGTCATATGTTAGTAAATTAACAGAATTAAAAAAGTTGAAAATTACGATTTAACTCTTAATAATGTTCTGTTTAATGTTCCTATAAAACTTGAGTTAATTATTACGTGGGAACTGATGATATTCAATATTCATAAATTAAATAGTTCTCAAGTGGTAGCTCGTGAGCCCTTAGAGAGAGAAAGAGGGGTGATAAAACTTGTGTTTCTGTATAACATCACGGTCTTTTAATAAATGAACGAGGTCGGAAAACCTCGATTTAACGTTTAATGGCCATTTTTTTATGTTATATATCCCAGAAAAAAAGTTAAAATTAATTACTACGCAAGAAGCAATCGTATCGAGTGTATCATTTACAAAATAATAACAATAAAAAACGTTAGGGTATATTGTTTCAATTTATCTACACGGTAACATAAGAGTTAAACGGTTAATCGTCCTACTTTTGTAACAAAAAAATAAAATAAAATAAAAATATCCGTTGACGATGATATAAAATTTAGTTAAAGCTGATACAGTTATGATGTTTACAGATATAAAATCCTTAATCAAAATTTGATCATGTGTTAAACATTTTATTTTTGTAAAGGGAAACTCTATATAGAAACTTAACCTGTTATTTAAAACAGATTAAAGTAGAGAGCGAGAGAAAAAAAAAGAAAAATAAAGTGCGATTATTTTTATTATTGCGTGATCCTGACATGATAAATTCACCTTTTTTTAAGGATTACTTTCCTCCTTAATACAGATCGATGAATAAATCATATCTAGATCTAATCTATCTCCCACAGATCATAAATTATAATATTTTAATAAAATATAAATATAGTACTGTATATATAGGCAATAAAACTGAATTTTTATTTAAAAAAATAAATAAATTGTTGATCTTTATATAACTGCTCATATGTAACCG